CGAGCATAATATATAATTCCATAATAATATCGCAGATTAAACCTGTCGGTTATCGTTTAAATCTTACGATTAATAAGGAGTCTGTAAAAATATAAGTTTATATGGGAAAAAAAACATTTTGAGTTGGTAAAAATATTGTCTGCACTGATATCTTCGCGAGTAGTCCCTAATCAGATTTTTTTTAAATTTCCTTTGTTTTCAGCCGAGTGAGGCAATTTTATATGAGGCCTTCTTACTTTTAATGACTGAACAATTAATTCTATCGGTTAAATGTGTTCGTATAGAGCGTTTGTTTACCATATTAAACAGTGCGTTGCACTATGTATTTTTTTTTTCGGTCATCCGACAATTGTCATTATTGTTAAAACTAAACAGAGCGAACATGTGGTACAATATTATTGAAAGGGGTTAAAAACGGACACAGGTGCGCCACGTTCCAGCGTTTACCATGCTTCGGGTTATTTTGTATTTTTTTATTGTTAATGTCTCTTCGGTCGACCCTTTTTTAGAAAAAATAAAACAAAACTTATTCGTCATCGTTGTGTTGTTGTATTTTTTTTTTTTTTTTACTATACGATGCATCGGTTTAGTGCAACTGCGTCGATATAATGTATATATTTAGTTGGATGTACGGTAAAAAGCATCGACGACGGCGTGGTAGGTACCGGTGGGGAGGAGCAGGGTTGTCAGTAGGGGTCGTTTACCCCTTGGCCACGTAAAATACAAATAAATACAAACCGAAACGATAGTTAAGTAAAAAAAAAAAAAAAATTCTTCCCCTTTATTATATTAAAAAAGCCATTCGGCCGTTTGAAACCATACACCGGACGTTTCCTATTTCTCAATCGGCGGTAGCTGTGTGTGTGGCCAGAGTTGGTTGAAAACATCAATCCTCTTCAACCTCCCCCCCTTAAAAAACACTCCCAACGGTTTTTTTTTTTTTTATTAAAATCCAGCAGACGTTTGAACACAAAAGACAAAATTCGAAATGATGTGCATTGAAAATATAAAAAAAAAAAAAACAAATTCCCGTTATAGTTGCCTAAGAAGAAAAATATTAACCGACTTCTCTTACTCTGTTAACATTGTTTAAGCGTAGCAATACTTGCTATGTTGTTGGAAGTTTTTAATGTCATTTTTAATTTGGAAAAAGAAAAGCGTTTTCTCAACCGAGTGAAATTACAACGTTAGGTTTGGCCTTTTACAACATCATTAAACGTGGTCAGCTGTATAATGTGTTGCGTTACTATATGTATAACGATATAGTTGCTGAACAAAATAAGTTTTGGGCGCATCCTTAATTCCGTTTAAGTCTTAAAGTTGGTGGTTTGTATGTACTATGTACATGTTAATGCGTTTACCAACAAGTTCTTGGTAGTTTTTTTTTTATGGCTTGAATGTTTTGGCCCTAAACACACGTGCCATTGTGCTTTATCCTTTTTTTTTTCTAATGTGATGATAACAATATTGCGCAATTGTTTTGTTTTGATTAAAACCCACGAGCGGAATATTTCTGCGAAAAATAAAAAAATTGTTATACTCTGTTTCTCCCTTTTTTTTTTTTGAGTGGAAGAGGGGAGGGTAAACAAGTGTGTTTTTTATCGTCTACCGCTGATGTCATGGAAATGAAAATAACAAGTAGGTGTAACTGCGATTTATAGGCATTGCTTAACCCGCTTTTCAAAATTATTTTCACTTACTGCCTATACTTGGTGTGTGTGTAGACAGTTGGTAGTTCAACAAGCGGCTTTACGTTGAGTATATTATAAAGAAAACTAAAACTGAATAAAAACTACAAAATTATTATTATTTAAAAAATAACAGGATCGCATCTTGTCCTTTGAATACATAAAAAAAAATATATTAAATCTGAAAAATACTACAACAAGTAAATTTTTGGGTCCAAAGTATAAGAAAAGACTCAAATCAAATTGAAAATTACGTTTTTCAAATTTAATTTCTCAATTGACCGTTGAACGTCAGACCTTAAATCCAAAAACTACTCCTATATAAACGAGATAAAGAAAAATATATTTCACCCCTTTGAGAGGAAAAGATTTTTAGGTTTTTTTATTTTTTTTACCTTTTTTGGTGGCAAAGAGATGTTTTTTTTTCACATTTGTCCTTTTTTTACGCCCTTTGGGGGTAAATACTTGTTGGCAGGATCATATTGAATTTACTCGAAACCAAGTGATGAGGGGGAAGGTGTGTTAAGTTCTAAAAAAAAACAAGGAGAGTCCATAATCCCTGGGGGGGGGGGGTGAGGTCGTTACACAACTGAACATTATTATTATTATTAATTATATTACATTATATATATTTTACTATAACACGGTCACAGCTGGCAATCTTGTTGGATCGGTGACCGTCACACACGTGGGTATATTATGATAATAGTAGTAAATAATTATCATCATTATCATTATGACTAGATAAAAATTAAAAAACGTTCTACTGAATTTAATAATAATTGCACCCGTTAACGCGGGGTCCCGTCGACCGTGTATAAATATTGCCCAACAATAATAATAATAATAGGTAGTAAATTTCAAATACGACCACAATCCATGTATTGCCTTGTTGTAATATAGAAATTATCATATATTAAAATGAATGATACCTTACGTATACACTTATGTATCATTTTTCTAGCCGACGCCCCGGATTACTGTAATATAATAGACTTTATTATTGCTAGTTTTGAATAAAATATACGGGTTTATGTGTAGATTTATGTGTCTAAATATATCTAAATATATATTTATACGGACAGAATTATTTTTAGCCTCGAGAGACGGCATTAATTAATCATTGTGCCCACGTTTATCATCACGTGATCATCTTTATAGCCATATATTATTATCATAATATTATCACCACCGACCCGAGGAAAAGGACACAACCGCTGGTTTCCTTCTTCCACAGGTGTACGATGTTTTTTTTTCACTCGTTCGAAAATGGTAACAAAAACAAATGTTATGCTTTGGACCTATTCCAAAAAAAAAAAAAACAGCCGGTCGAACCAGAATCTTAAATTTTACACAAACGTGTGTGTATGTGTACCGAACGCGAGGTGATACCACACTTGACAAATGATCTAAATTAATATAGCATAAAAAAAGCGATTATATGTATAATGATAAACTCCACAAGAAATCAACTGATGAGGGGTAGAACATAAATTAGGATGTCGATTCATGTGGGTGGAAAAACCAACGCTAGAGATAACGTGTGATAATGGTAAATATGCAATGTTTTATCATTTCTAAAGTGTTCTGCAACTTTTTCAGCAATGTCTGCTACTTTAATTGGAATGTTAGTTGTTGTATATTTTGAAAGGCTTGTAAAATACTCCACACACACACGTCCTCTACATATGTATATAACATACCTTTTTTTTATTAGTCAACGCTCACTTTAAAAGTACGCGCCCCCGTTTACTTCTATAAAACTGCCAGCTCAACAAAAAGCCACGGTAGACCCCCTCGGCAGGACGACGCATTGTAATACCGTAAAATGTTTTTGGCTTTGGGCGACGGATAATAAAAAAGTATTAATCAGCAACCCTCTGAAACGTCAGGCATTTTTTTTTTTGCTTTTTACATTATACGCCGCTGTCGGTGGCGACGGCGGGGCTCTCTGAATTCTCATAATATAAAATATGCTCCCTTGCGGATAATTAATCGACTATCGGGGACTAGCATAATATGAATTATTTATCAGCAACCTAGTTGTGTTCTACTTAAGTACAAGTTACAACAGCGGCACTGCTATCGGTGTACGGTCACGACGCCATGGGCGGCAGGCAGGGGTTTGGCGTACAATAAGGTTTTGCGCGTTTCTGAACTCACCGGAAATTAGCTGATAACGCAAATATTATGATAGTGATAAGAACGGTTATTGATAAAGAGAAAACAACAAGCGGCAATCGACTGATGAGCTGTAGCGACATGATGATTCACAGGTGTAGATTGATTAATAAACAAGGTTAGACTAGGCGAACCCTATTTATATAATCGGCCAATTTTTTGTGGGAGGCGAGTATCACAAATGAAGTTTCACAATCTGCGATTAATGATAAATTGATCTTGAATTGTCTGATGGAAATATGCATGATTAATATCATCAAATGTATTTATTTACAATAAAGCATTACGCATATTATAATTGTTTAGAATAATTTGTTCTCAACCAACAAATTGCTTTTATTCGCCTTGGGAATTAATTTACTACGTCTTTGCCTATAATTGATTGGAACACGCTGATAAGAGATAACTGATTACAGATTAGAAACGATAGCGCTAAAGTCAATCTTTTCTCTATCGGCTTTTACGACAGTTCGGCCCTTTAATATGATTATAACGCAATAATTCCATTAATAATGATTTTTAACTGCCGATATTTTTATCTTATACCGTATTATTATAACTTTGTCGAGTTGTGTTTTTTTTTTGAAACTTGTTTGTGTGTGCGTTTTATAAATTCGGTTCGTCGAATTGTTCCAACGGCAAATACAGAAGGAACACCATCGCTTCCCCCTCCCTCCTCCCACCCAATCGATACTTTGTAATTTATTATTTTCATCGTTTATACCATTATGGAGATTTATGACACACGACCCGGTGTGTAAACATACTGTTTGTGTGTGTGTATGTGTACACCTTGCCGGCTACTGTGTTTCTCAGTAACAATAATTAAAAAAAAATAATCCCTCCCCCCGTCGCCTCCGGTGTATCACACGGAGTTCTGCTAAAAACCTTCTCTCTTTGCACCTGTGTAAATCGCTTACCTGATGTGCACCTAATAAATCATACACACAACGACGTTGCGCGCTAAGTAACAGAAAAATATGTATATATATGTGTGTGTGTTCATCTCGACTCTATTTTTTTTTGGCGCACCTGCAAATTTATCCGACCGAAAAAGGTTATCGACGATTGTGTATAATCGACATTTTGGGAAATTTTTTTTTGATATCTTCTTTTTGTATTTGTTTGCAGGCCGCCATACTGCAACACACGGCCGACTACATTTACCAGTTGGAACAAGAGAAAACGAGACTATTGTCGCAGAACTGTCAGCTGAAACGGCTGGTCAGCAAACAGGAGGGCGAACTGCTGAGCACGGCCAGCGTGCACAAGAAACGCAAATTGGAAGACCCTGCGGGTAAGTGCTGTGCCAAGACCGTGTTTATCGTATAGATAGTGTTACTATTACTACTAATTAAACACAATAATAATTGACGACGTTATGCGATAACCTGAGCTCTCTGAAAACGCCTACCGGGTGTTGCCCCGGGGTCGTATGTCGTTGTTTAGGCTAAAGAAAATTTCTAAGCAACACGAGTAGAGTCGACCGCCGCCGTCCATTGACGCCCACTTTTGTTGAAATTATCAAATACCTACATGCTGCTGTTGGTTCGTCGATTGGCTTCTGTTGAACGATCAAACGTGCATGCGCTCTTAATGCTAGAAAAAAAAAATGTTTTAAAATAAATTTGTAATAAACTACCGAATAAACTCGAGTATAATAATTAAGGTCGAGTTAGATTACAGTAATGAAATTTTATTCAACGCTATATTAATATTACACAATTATATTATATTCATCGAAATGGTTCAAATGTGGCCTAATCATCATGGTCCACCACCATTGCCGCTATTATCAGCTGTCCTCTTTTTTTCCGCATTCTTATCACTTCTGTTATCCTTTATCAGCTGATAAAGGTGTAAGCAAACATATTAATATCTTCCACGTTGAGTCAGTCTAAGAACAAACGTTTCTCTAAAGGTAATAAACAACCACAGTAAAGTAAATGTCCAAAAACAACAGTATTAGCCTTTTTTGAATCGAATCCAAGATCCAACTGGTAGGTCAATGCCTTTTGCCCTCTGTGATTTTCACAAAACTATTCCGTGTGATAAAATGCTTGCAACATAACATTATTATTGTTATCGTAATCGCACGGTTTTTAAAATTCGGTAAATTCTAGTGAAAAAAATAATATATATTTAATTACTCCAGTAGCTCGTTAGAGAAAATGCGTGCATAATAATATAATTATCTATGTAAAAATATTTAAATGCGAATGAAACAAATAATCGGGTAATTTAAATACAATGCGATGCAACAACTTTGCGTTTAATACGATTTTAATGAGAACCGACGACTCGGATTTCCAAACTGAACCTTTTTCGGTGCAACTTAATATTATTAGCCAAATTGCGTTTTACTGGGTTTGCACTTTTTGTGGCTTTAGGGGAGAACGCCGTATTCGATTTTTCAGTACACTAGTTATTCGGCTTCTTAACACCTACCTAGGTACCTATTTTCAATTATTATTTGTCAAAATAGATACCTGTAATAACACAACCCCTCCGTGCATGTTGTACATAGTGTTACCATTGTGGTAGTGGTAGTAAATCCGGCCTTTCCCCGGGTTAGGTCCTTCTCCTGCACGTCTATGCCATCGACCGACCTTTGATTAATGGTCGATTTCGTTGCTGTTGTTGTTGTGCGCTGCTTCGCGTTTATTATTGTTATCATACAGGAAAGGGCGGCAGGCAAAAAGGCGACGGTGTTATTACCGGCGATGGCAGCACCACCTGCCGCGTCTCCGTTTAAATTGCGTTTTGAATTTTGCCAAGCAACAACAACAAAAAAAAAATATATATATATAAGTATATAATAATAGTAAAATGCTACCAAGTACACACAATGCGACTCGTTAATACAATATAGGTACCTATTTCGTAAGGAGGGCAAAATGCATTTATACATTATGTGTATTATGTTATTATTATTATTCCTTTTGCCCCGATCGGTCGTCTCTACCACGTCCTCCATTGTCGTCGTCTTAGCCTGAAAACCATTATAATTATATATATATATATATATACAATGTGGAGCAGGTGTTTATTTCTTTATAGTATTTCTCTATTTTTCCATTTTCCCTCGGGAAACTGTCGTGTGTCCGTCTTATATGTATCGGGCCGTTTTAGGCAAATGCTAATGGTGGTGATAATAATAATAATAATAATTGGAGGCTAACGGGGGGGGGGGAGGATCTAGGAATGAAATAGGTAGAGGAGGGGATGTGGGAGAATTCCTGGATAAGGGACGGAAAATCAGCCGATCGAATATACTTTTTTTTTCAGTCATAAGTAGTAAAAATCTTTGCCGTATGTATCGGTCCAGATGGTCGTCCAGACCTGAATTACTATTATGGTTGGTTTTTTTTTTTTTTAGTCAACTGATTTTACCATGCGTGTGCAACAACACCGTCGTCATCATCACACATATAAATAAACGGGTTAACGCACCGTCGCTGTGTATATGTGCACATGCAACAGTATATTATATATTCGAATGCAATAACCGCCGTGTAATATTATAATAATAATAATGGCGCTCATAAAATGTAATATACATTTTATCCCTAGGGCGGCGGTCCACATGGGTTTTGTGTACACTACACTACTGCCGGCACACGTTTTAATGGTCCAATAAAATATATTGTATTCTATCCTAAACATTTGGCCCGCTGCACTTTTATAGCGTACGCGCATTGGCAGTTTGGAGATGATTATAACAGCAGCTATCTTTGTTGTCGTTTCTTTTTTTATTATGATAATAATATATAGTTATTATTTTGCGTTTAAAAAAGCGTTGTTGCTGCCCTTGACATTCGCCGCTGCCGACCGTGAAGGGGGTAATATTTTTTCTATATATACTAATAAAATGATAATGCTAATTCGTTGGCCCTCCAGTGGTGGTGCTCGTCGTTGCGCAAACTATTAATAATCAATTTGTATAATGTATGTTGCAATTTGACGGTTTCAAGCGAACCCGAGCTTATAATAATAATCGAGGACGTCCGGGGAAACTATGATGAGAGGATGTAATTAGAATTTTTTTTGTTCATTATGATTTCCCACGTGTCTGGCTTGTTGCCCGGAAGTGTGTGGTATGCATGTGTGTGCTCGTTTTAACGACAAAAATATTGTGTATTTGTGATATATTTCATTCGAATAAGCTCTTCGAGTCGAAAAGTCGAAACCCTTCAAAAAATCCAATCCGTTTTGATTAAAAAATAACACTATTTATAATACTTTTAGGTTTTCATTTTGAAAACATTTCTATTTATGTTATTGTACAATTTCATAAAATTACCCGATATTTGCCTCCTTTTTTTTAGTATTTTCCTATCTATCGACTTTTGAAAGTAGAATAATTTGCTGAAAGTGTCGTCCGGTCGAAAACCATTTTTTTAATAATTACCCTTAAAGCTATTCAAGTTTAAAATCTAGGACTGGATGCAAGGTGGATTGTGCAGTATTTAGAAGAATATTATCTTCTGGCTTATAATAAGCGTGACTATTTTTTGATGGACCGAATTGTTTTCCTTCTGTCATTGTTTACAGTGAGGGTTTTTTTAAAAATGTTTTCATACTCTGGTTACTGTGAACATTTGATGTTGATTTTACAACAATTCCAAGACCTGGTTTTGATTCACGGCGTCTCCTCTTGAAAGAAGTGAGTGTGTGTGTGTCTTGCGTTGCCTATGGGGATCACCTTTATTTTTTTTATAATAATATTTTTTAAATATTTCCCCCTAAAAATTACTCTTTATTTATGTGCATTACAATGGAATTCGCACACCAGAGAACCTTAAGATGACAGTCGCCGTTTTTTTATTTATTAATTTTTTATTATGTATCCGTTTGTTTGTTGTTTTTGTGTTGGAGGAAACATAACCCGTTTATCGTTGAGGGGTAACCCCGACGTGTGTGTTTTTATTATATGCACTTAAAATAATATGTCGAAACGCATTAGTAACGTTGTGATAATGTTATTGCTGGTGGAATTTTTTTTTTTTTTTGCGTTTATAATATAATTTCCACCGGTTCGTGAAACGACTTAGTGTGTGTGTGTGTGTTTGTGAGTGTCTTATACTCGCCCAAGACGTCTGTATATATGGACACGAAAAAAAAAATAACCGAGGAATTTTGATTGATATATATATCTAAATTATATATAGGGAGAAAGAAAGACACTGAGTGAGAGAGAGGTAGACCTATCCCCCGTGTTGCCCCCGCGGTGGTCTCCGTCGTTGGTGTTGTGTTTGCGGCCTTCGGCGAATGCATTGCGTAGAAAATGCTGAATCGATTCATTGACCGACCATGTGTGTGTGAGCGATGGGAGATAATATAATATAGTAAGAGAGAGAGAGAGAATTAGAGAGGTTACATTGCTGCAGTAGAGGTACACGGTTAACGTGCATTAAAATGTATAACAATAATAATAGAAAAGGCGCAATAGCGCAGCAGCATCGTGTTGTTGTTGTGCGTTATTCGCGTTTGAATTATATTTATTTTTCAACATAACGTTATAAATAGGTGCAAACACAGTGATGATAGTATCAAAATCAATACCAAGAAATTTGGCTGAAAACCGTGAGATCATGGACATCAGCTGCTTTTCTCTTATCAATAATCTCTTTTTATTAATAAAAACAATTTTCACTATGTCGTTGAGAGATTGCTGGGGCTTGAAAGTGTACACGCAAATGCATTGTTTTTTACGAAATGGGCAAAAAAAATTACTAGGAAAGCTACGAATGTTTGCCATTACGCTTTAAGAAGAATCCAAATTCAAAAGCTTGTTTCGCATATTTGTCAATATTTGTAGCATTTTTTTGTATGTTTTACATTTTTTTTTTATCTTTATGTACCAATAAAAACATCGCAATAGGTATAAGAGAATATTTTTTTCTAGAAGAATAGAGAATTATAGAAATCATAAAATTAATACTTTCGGTGGAAAAAGAAAATCCGCAACAACGGGAGACATTTTATCACTAATCTCTTATCTCTCTCTTGTCTTATCAAATAAATCATTAGACATTTTTGTTAGGTTTTTTAACTGTCGATTTTTCCGGTTGTGTGCCAAAGTAAAATAGACATAAAATGTCAAAAAGGTTCTGCGACAAATTAGCATGGATCAACTTTTTTATTTTAGAGTGATTTTATCATTTGGCAGTTTAATGCCAACACCTAGTATTAGTGTTATTGTACTATTCTTGTTTTGTTTTTGTTCAATAACCGTTTAGTGGGCCAGTTTAGAATTTCCATTAAATGTCCAATTCGGTCACCCAGTAGGTCGCAATAAGTAGAATACTATGAAGTAAGCGAAAAGACGAGCTGCAGTGTGACCAAAATAACGAAATTACAATGTATTTTCAATTTATTTCACTACTGCAACCGTGTGTGTAATACAAAACACACATGACTTGCCAGTTAATCATATGAAATTCGAATTTATCTATAAATTGATTTGTTTAGTCAGTCGATATGGATTATACTTGTGCAGTGTGTTCAACGGCCTATACAAAAATGATTTATTTTTATTTAAAACGGTCACACTGGCGCTCGCCTTTTTGATTACTTCATTGCTGAGGAGTACAGGGCGTTATAACATTTATGATGTGTTACAGCTGTATATATTTTTACTCTATATCGGTTAGACCCGAAGACCAACGAATATTTATTTTTTTATACATTTTTTTTTATCTAGGTCTCGACGACGGCGGTATTATGATGGACGAGATGACCGAACTGCGAGCGCACCTAGAACGCGAGCAGAGCCTTCGGATGGAGCTCGAGGAGCAGCTGAAAGAATATGCTGCTCGTTTGGGAGAAACGTACGTGGAACCACCCAAGTCCAAGGAGAGCTCTCAGACTACCATCCAATACCACCACAACACGAACACGGTAAGATGTCTCCTTTGTGGAAACCCAAAATGTCTGAGAAACCCTAGTTTTTATGTCCTTAGAAAAAAATTGAGTAATTAGAGAGAATTAATAAAAAAAAAAAAAAAAGAAGTTTCCTCTTCAAGGAATGTACACATCACTACTTTCTCCGTCTGGTACTTGGCCTTTTCTTCAACGTTAGGTTTTTGTTGGTGATATTATTTTAGGGAAGTGTCCTTCTCGATTTTATCATCTACTCTGTGGATCTATGCTTTAAAATTAAAACAACTACCTTTAAGCATTTTTTTTTATTTAACTCAAAAGTATGAGAACATTTTATTAATTATTTAAAAATAACTTTATATTTTTGGTCTGTATGGTATTATACACCTCTACGTTTATTACTCAACACATTAGAAGGTAATTTAATTTTTTTAGATCCCCATTACAAAAAACAGATTTATCAACTATTGACTTTTTGTCAATAATTATTTTCCTTGTCTCACATTCAAACTCACTGGTGTGCCACTTAAAACGATATAATCACAATTAATATTTAATACATATTTTGTATAAAAACAGAAAAAAGGTTATGATGTAAAATTTAAATAATAATAATAAAAAAAAAAACAGGAAGGCAATTGTTGTAAAAAAAAACATTTGTATTCATTCTCGGATGTGTCTGGGGAAATAGAGTGAAACAAATTCACGCGCTGATAATCATATAACTAACTTTTTTTTTTTCAATTTTCAGTGTGTAGTCGGCGAAGAAGCCGGTATGGAGATCATCGAAGTGAACGATTCGGAAAACCTGGTGGTGCAACGAGAGCCGCAAGACGATAGCTCGCTGATCAAGACTGAACCCGATGTGCTGGAAGACGATCGGCTTAAAGCGGTGGTGGACGTCGTGGAGTCGGTTGTTCAGCCCCAGCAACAGCAGGAGCCGCAACAGCAACCACAGCAGCAACAGCAGCAAGTGCTCCCTTCCGCCAGGGTCTACCTGACCAGCACGTCCAGGCAAAACTTGGAGACCATCGTCGAAGCCATCAGACACCTGGAGGGCGACCATCTGTTCAGCGACGATCACCAAGACGCTCCGTTAGCGCTGACCAAGCACGCGGCCGCCAGCAATCAAAAATTGCTCAAGGTACATAACGATTGCGAATGATGATATTATGCTGCCACCGCTTAAACAAAAACTTTGATGATAACTTGTTCTTTTTATTTGTGAAATTAGGTGGAAATGAATCCCTTCCTCCAATTCCACAGTGGTTCCCAGACGTCTCAGGGTTCTACGGTGGTAACGTCCAACACCTCAGTGCGACCGTCCAGGCCTGGTGTCATTGTCGGCAAACAAGTGTCGTGACTTTGTTCGAGTTAATTAAGTGTACATGTTAAAGAAAAACATTTTATAATAAGATAAATGAAAAATGAAAAAAAAAGAGAGAATGCTGTATGCTTATGTTACCACCGCAATTCCCCACTTTTTTTTTTAATATTAAAGAAAAATACTAATTGATTTCTACGTGTGTAATCTTTTCGTCGGGAAATTGTGAAATGTTTTTCTTCGATTGTGATGTGTCGTGTGTGTTCGGTTTCAGATACGTTAAAAAGTAATGTAACAAATAATTTAATAAGAAAAAAAATCTACGATATTATTATTCTCATTTTTAAATTAATGACTGTGTTTTTTTTTTCTCTAGTTTTTAGTATACATATATATATATGTATAAACCATTTTGATTGATTTTACTTTTGTAATTATTATATATGAATAATAAATGTTTACTGTCATACACTGTACTCGGAAAAAAAAAAAAGATGCCACAACAGAAATATGTTCAAACAGTGTTGTTACTCTATTTGATCTTGTCCGACAGCCATAAAAAAAAAAACAATTATATTTTTTTATGAATTTTGTAACATTGTAAATTAACGATTCATTTTCATTGTATTCTTTCGTTTGTTTTTGACATTTATTTATATATCACATGTTGATTTTTATTTTTTATTTTTTTCATTATCATCAAGAGTCGACATCTATGTAAATATAAAAGGTACGATTACTACTGCACGGTAGCATTTCCAATTTGAAATTTTCTGATCGCCACTTATTAATTTTTTTTTTCTCTGTTTAGAACTGTTTTTTTTTTTTTTTTTAATCGCAATATATATTGTTATAAAAATATAGTATAATATATATTTTATAACTCGACTATTTGCAATATAAAAGTATACGCAGTACTAATACGTTTAGTAGTTTCTATAATATTATTTTTTTGGCTATACACACATATATATATTATATATTGTTATTATTGATATTAAAAAAACACAACGGTTAACTTGTGTGTAGGATTATGTTTTACAATCGACCCTTTTATTATTATTATTATTATTTATTTTTTATTCTCATTCTTATTATTATTTCTTTAGAGTTGTATAGTTTTCGTAATATTATGTTACTCCAAAGATGTAGTAACGGTCGGTTTTTGAGAGGGAAAAAAAAGTTAGTAAGACTTGCGCTGTTTTTTTTTTTTTTTTTTATAAAGTTATTTGTAAAAACCTATAGTAATTTTATACATGTATATCGGTGCTATCGATCTTCAGTTTTCTGATTTTATAATATTGTAATATATAACGCGTAACGTGTGTTGTTGTCAATAACGACAGTTATTATTCAAATTTTCTGTATATTAAGAATATTTTGAGATACAAAAAAATTATAATAATAATAATAATACTTTGTAAGGGAAGAGAGATGAACAGTTGTGGTCCGAAAGTAAGCCGTCAACGTTACCAATGCGATGACGAGTCGTACTGACTACTACCGTTTAGTGTCGAACGGGCGAAATTCTCTTTTCCATTTAGTTGTTGTAGAGAAAGTTCACGTTTATAATTGAATTCTTCCCCTCTCCCCCCACCCATTGTAAACAATAGTTTAACATATTTTGTTTGTTTGCGCTGTGTTATCGCGCTGTACGTTTCTGGAAAAAAAAAGAACTAATAATAATAATGATAATATTAAACGACAGGCGGACCGTAGTAATATTTTTCTTTAACGTTTTGTTCTTATTATTATTATTAATTTTTTTTTTTGGCATTATCTAAAATTTAAAAAAAAAAATCGACCCTAAAAGAATATGTGACGCGTGTTGTTTCTTTCGTACTATAAATATATGATAATAATAAATGTATTGTGTAATTAATCGTCGATTGGATTATTATTATAAATAGAGTAATGTGTAAAATTAAGTATTATTTTGTATAAACGTGTGAAAGATGTAAAATATGTGTCTTAAACGGAGTGAAAAAAAGAAAAATTATGTTTAAACGCCATTTTTTAAAATTATTGTCACATTTGTTAGGTTAAGCGCTTTTGTCGGGAATTGGAGACTGATAAAAATCAACTCTTTGAGTTTTAGAGACTCGATTTTTAGTAAACTTAAGATGAAATAAAATAAGTTTTTTACTATATTATCATGAATCCTATAAAACAAAAATAATTATGTTTAGCGTGTGCCCGTTGAGTTGAAAATTATATTAGGTATTATTTTTGTTTTTTAAATTAATGCAATTTTTTTTTATTAAAATTTTTTTTTAAAAAAAACTAGTTTAAACGAAATTCCACCAGTTATTTTACATTTTATTATGATATAATAGTCAAATTTATATTAACGACGTAGCCTGATATTGTAATTTTTTTAATGTTACTTGATTTTTTTTTTACCTTAGGTGTTAGAATTTTTTTTTTGGACTATAATCTGTTTGTAAGCGTTTGATTAAATGAATTACTTTGTTTTTTTTTTTTTATACTTAGGATTTACAATGTTGATTTTTATGTTGTCTTTTCTTCTACCTATAACAAATACAATATATACATATGTGTATATATATTTATATTTTTTACATCTAATAAACGTCTGTGTAATTACAAGCTAACTATTTTATACAATTTATTCATATATTTATATAAATAACGTAAAGTTGTAATTACATAAATACAACACGGTTATAAAATTGTATGTAATACGTATATGTATATATAAATATATATATCGGCACAATACGGTTTCATGTACATAATTAATCCCCAGTAAACTAATATTATCGATATTATGTAGACACACAGGACGTTATCGTTTTATTTCGGTTTTTTCTTGGCCGCGTCGCTTTTGGCGCACGACGACGACAGCTTGGTGCTCAGATCTCGAGCTTTCATTCTTTCCACGTACCTGTCGTGAATGCGTTTCATTTCCAATATTTCTTTCATTCGTTCTTTGTCTTCGTCCTGTTAAAAAAAAAAATCTAATAATAATAATAATAAAAATTTGACTCCTTAACGGCCTTTGTGTACAAAACTATCTTCCTTTCAGAGAATCTTACTAATGATTATTATTTTTTTTTTTTTTTTTACCACTTGGCGTTTAAATAGAATTTTTTTTTTTTATCGATCGCTGTATGTTTTTTTTTTGTTCAATTTTTTTTTATGTTAATCGTATTTATGTTTTACGATAATATTACGATAATTATACTTTTGTTTTATACATACGTAATTATTATTAATTTTTTCGATCTCATTTCTGTATGTGAGAGAATACAGTTGAAAAGTAATTTGATAATATAATTATTTCTCGATTATTATTTTATTACTTTTTTTTTTTTTATTATTACTATTAATAATTATTATTTATCATATAAGTTTACTTATTATTATTATTATCTAATATGTCAAATAAACCGATGAATTCAAACAATGAGTTTATTTCGATAAGACTGCGTATATTATGTTTTTTGCAAGAAAAACTAAAGATCTGTCGACGAGACATTACTGTAGCGACTTTTCTTTTTAAATTATTAAAATACACTTTCTCAGCTATGCATCGAACATCACATCGTCTCTTTCAGTTTCATTAATTTCCTGAATTATCGTTTGCCGCCGTTTGTTTTAATTTTAATAAAACGGGCTGAGGCAATAATACGTATACGGATTTTGAGAATAGTATTTGTGGTAATAAAAAAGGACAAATTAAAAATATTTACAATTTTCCATGATTAATTGACAATCATTCCTAAATATTTCAATAATTGTTCTGTATTTTTTAAACATGATTAAGCTTTGTGCTGTCCGTACTTGGTCAGTAGTTCAACATAATTTGGCACGATACAAGTGTGTCGGTTTCCGTTACTGATGGTAGATAAATATTAATAATTGGTTTACAAAAAAAATACCAAGAGTATAATATTAAGATGTTAATGTTGTGATAAATTTTCAAATGCTTATTTTTTAAGTACATATTCCAAGTTCAAATTTTGGGACTAATTTTTTTCAAATTTATACAGGTACAATTTAAGGGTCAAAATAACGTTGTATCTTATTGATATTTTTCCAAATTTACATATGCATTGTTATAATATCTGACAACACACTTGACAAAATTCCGGAGCAGAACGCTCGTTTTCCAAGTTGGCATTAATTATAAATGGACTTGCGTCGAAGACATGTTGTTTGGACGCAAAGAAAATTAGTTTTTGTAAGATTAGGTAACACCCAGAATGGGTCAGCCCTGGGCTATTCATTTCATTAATCCGGTTCTGATTATTATTAGGTATTATATGATTTTGAAAAAAAATCTACCGATACATATTATTATCACTACACGCCTCCTCCAAGTATATTCTGTCCTTTGTTCGTTTTTCAAGACATTCAATGATTTCGGTACATCTGGTCGACCACATGGTCCATCGTCTACCCCCCTTTGTTCTTGTTGGTATTTATGTTTTGTTCCCGCTATCGTGCAGTATAAACCGGTTGTGATCACTACCACAGTAAATATTAAAGATTTTATACACATACAGTGTATACTAAACGTATAAGATTTTACGGAGTATTAAAACCACGTGTACACTCTAAGTATACTCACTGATATAAACAATCGAGCGTATAGTAATTTCAACAAAAAAAAAACTTGGCCTTTTGCCTCTTATGACACTTGAACTACTTGTGAATTAGAAAAAAACTCCCATAATACAGCGCACATGGGTACTTGAAGACGACCGGACAACACGACTTGAGAGTACTCGAGTACAAAATACATCATTTTTGAAAATACTTCAAATATATATCATAAAGACGCTAAATTTGTGTATAATAAATATGGACTTAAACAAGATTCAATAATAATATTATGTCATGTAATTAATATGTTGATCTCACCGTTTGGTTAAGTCGCAGGATCAATGCTCTACGACCGTCCGACATGGGTTGAGAATAACGCAACAGATTTTTGTGCCTTTGCAACGGGCTTACACCTCTTTCTACCACCAACACTATCCTGGCCCACTAAAATTATTTAAAATTATTAGAAAATAACTTGTTGAATGTCAAAGTCAAATAATGTCTAAGTCAAACAAATGTATTATATAATATGTATCGTCGTTTTGTTGGTATACCTGTCTCTGCCATTCGTTTCTGGTCTCTGCAATCTTTTGATATGTGTTACCCATCATGGCGATCAACATGTTGACCAACAAAATCGCCACGATCACCATGAAAACGATGAAGCAAAACTGTACAGGAGAAATTCAATCGCAACGTTATAGGTATTACATATTAATATGATTATAGTTTACGTTCTTGTGCATTGGACAATATAATAATTAAGTAAAATATTTTTCGAAGTAAGCGATAAGGCGAGCTGCAGTGTGACCGCAATGACGAAATTACATATTTTTTATTTGTTTCAGTACAGCAACCGCGTGATAAAAAAACATGTTGCTTATTACCTGTTATAATAATAGTATCATGTGAAACTGGAACTGACCTATTGATCTGGACAGAGTCGTTTAAGGATGTTTATACTTGTGCAGTGTGTTTACCAACCTATACGAAAATGATTTTGTTTTTTTATTTAAAGCGGTCACACTGTCGCTCGCCTTCTTGATTAATTAGTCTCTGAGCACAGGTCATCATTATGGTACATGTTTACTCTGTGCAATCGAAAGATATAGCGTACCTTCGCCACCAAAGTGTGACTGGTCTTGTCGAAAGCCTGATAATACTCTGAGAACGCGTTGACCGACATGAGAAACATGGCCATGATGGACTCGATGGGCGACGGCATTGGGTTCTCTACGGTGTCGTCGATGTTGTCCGGGGTGTACGGGTTGTCGAACGATAGAAATATCACATAATAAGCTGAATCGGCGAAAATAAAATAGCGAAGAGATAAAAATTATTAGACAACGGTAGTTATGTGTTCAAATTATACTCTGCTGTCTCGCGAGAGAACGGTACCGCGCAGAAACCAAATGGCGTCACCCCTATCTGCGCATGCGCGTACGAGGATAACGCGTTTCTGCGCAGTGCCGTTTTCTTGTGAGACGTAGCCGTAGAGTAATGAAGAGGAGAGTTGTTCCATCAAAACAATGTTGATTCGACAAGGCGGCAATTTTCAGTGCAACCACTTTGGAGCGAAACCCATAATAATCGTGGCGGCACTGCTTGTGTTATCATTTAATGTTACTTGTCACCATGGTTTAAGATAATATTGTTATTTAAAATTGTACTCATCACGGAAGTTGGTTGTCAAAACATAATTTTTACACGTCCATTTTTTTTTTTCATGGCCATGATAAAGCTGAAAATTAGCAACCTTTGTCCAAACCATGTGATACATACCTTGCGAAAAACCCATGACGAACACCATATAAATGGACACGAACCTCAGTAGATCTCCGATAATCATTCTGTAGATCATGACCACGAAAGGTCCGACAGTCTTGAAACCTCTGCAAACCCACAGGAAAAATATCAGTTGCTTGTATGATGTAATATTATTTAGACGAAGTTACACAATAATAATTTTTGAATCATTGATTTTAAAATGTACTGGTAAACGGAGCCGTAGTTACACAAAGAAGTCAACCGATTTTATGCGAAATTTAATGTTTATTTTTAAAAAACAAAAACCCACTCCTAATTTTTTTTAACCTTATCAACCTAAGATTTTAAAAACGACTTAAGCTTGGCTGTATACACCTTAAAATCAATGCTTGGCCTAATAGTTAGTATATTCGTATGGGTCTTTTCGCGAAATGTGGTCAATTTCAGGATTGAAATTTTAATAATTTTAATTATCTTTTTTATCACTTTAAAGGTCAGAATCCAAAAAAGTTCGCCATAGAAACATTTTGTTTTTCACTTGCCCAATAATCCCATAAGTCCAATTCCAAGCGAGTGAGGCCCAGGGGTGTGACTCCATGGGAACTGAGATTGTCATGGTTGTTTTGGGAATAAAAAAGTACAATTTTAATCATGTGGATCTACTGTAGATCATAATTATTCTGTGACGTGACTCATAATTGGCACGGGAGCGAAGTGAGGGAAATCCATATCCAAAAGGCAAAAATTCACTCTATCACCACGCTTTTACTGATAACATATACCGCTTCCCAGACAAAGTCGACGTTTTGATTGGTTTTAGAGGGAATATAACACCAACTCCTAAAAAAAAAAAATGTCTTTACCCATTCCAATCCTGGGACCGAATTCAAAATTGGGCAGGGAAGTGAGGATTTGAAGTTTGACCACACTTAAAACGTGAGCCTCATAGTTTATTGTCGATTGAATGGTATTTCTCCAAAAACTATCTTTTACCACCCTTTACACCTTTTACTATTCCAATGTAGCTTTTTCGAGCACTATGTCAGAATCGGTTTTGAAAGGGTCATAGGACACCTTTGCACTTTGAGCCTGGCCAGGAGTGTGAGGTAATGGCTGTTAATTTATTTTTCAACTTTGTTATTGAAATAGACAAATGATTCAGATTGGCAAATTCTGTTGGCCCGAATACACCCTAAATGAAAAATTGTACCACTTCAGGGGGAAATGACCCATATACGGTTTAAATATAAAAAAAAGAACTATGCGTTGAGTGCACAAGTGAGAATTACCTGCAGAAGAATAAAAAGTACGGACAAGTAGTTAACATGATGATTACCGCTATAATGTCTTCGGCTTTATCGTAGCACGTAAACCTCAACGGCGGTATAGTCATCATCAGAAGACACGAGAACAAAAACATCACCCTTGCCGGTGCTATCGCCTGTAAACAAATAGCACAAAGTGTAATAAAAAAACAGTCTAAGCATGTCTGGTTAAATTTTTTTTATTCTATATTCTAATAAAACGCCGACCAAGTTTTCGATGAACATCTGAAGTCCCAAAAAGCTGGCTTCTCGGACAGCGGCTAACAAGTAAAGGAATGCACCTACGAACATGGCAACTTCTGAACCCATTCGAATCAAGTCATCGGTAGCATGGACAGTCAAGAGCCTGCAAATTCTTTGCCTTTTGTTCCACCAATACTTTTTCGTCTACATAACAGGTAAGTTCATTAGTCGTTTGGACTGATCGTGTTCGGTAAACTCAAAGTAACCGATGCGTTGTCCAAACGTAACTGTACATACCTTGTTGTAGTTGTTGGTATTATTGGTACCGTTTCTGTTGGCCGTGTCCCAATTTCTGTGCTTTCCTCTATCGGAGCTAGAACCTTTTCCGAAAAGACTTACTGTATCAGCTGGTCGAGATTTGCCGGAAAAGACCAACGTGTCGTTCAGATCTTTCGCTTCAGTCGTGTTGTCCAGTGACATCATCGCGGTGGTTGTTTCGGTATTGAACACGGTAGTCAGTGAACTGAGATCGGTTACATCGACAATTTCGTCATAGATAACATTCTCGGGTATGGTTTCATTGTCCATAAAATCCATCGGAGTCGTCGCCGTGGTCGTGGACGATGTGTAATTATTCAACGGCGGTTTAAGACCACTTGGCGGTGGGCCCGGGCGTAGCACGAAGCAAACCATTGATATGGAGAAGTAAAAAGCGAAAAGAAAAAATTGCCTGTAAAACCTATAATATAAAGACATACCAAGACAAAATGTCAATATTAGATGGCTAATACAAAAATGTTGTTCACGTTCGCTGCTTGTAGTTGAATCGCTTCATGCAAAAAGGGCATAAGTCACCATTTTAACAAATGCGTGATTATTACAGATTTGTTAGCACTCTACTTAGACGCATCTATTCATGTTAAAAAATAATTTAGTCCCATTACCAGAAATGACTAGGAAAATTTTTGATTTTTGTAAAAAAAAAAAAGCATTTTTCAGCCGAGTCTGCAACCACGAAAGAGCATTTTCATGCCTCGTTGAAGTACCGAATAAATTTAGAGTAGTGGTGGAATTATAGATAATGAAATAGTATATTAACAAGCAGTAACAAGCTAGTATCTAAGGTGGCTAATAAACATATTATCAAGTTTCTGGCTAATATTTTAGTGTTTTCATAATATCTGGCCTAAAACTATTCATAGGAATATGACCTCTTAAATTATTATTGAATGTATTTTTCAGATATAATTTGATCGTTGTAAATACAACACATAATTTAAAATAACAGCGTAACACTTTTTTCGGTTATGTGCCAGAGCTAAGACATATAAATGTCAAAAGGGTTTAAATCCACTATACTTAAATGCTAATAATCTGGACTGCATTTGAAAATAATAATATTGTTTTACAGAATGTAATTTTAAAGTTTAATATCTATTAACTTTGATAAAGCCCTTAAATGTTTATGCACTTTAAAACATATCAAACGTTTTTTTTTCATTTTTCCAAAAGTTTAAAGTTAAGGACTAAGGCCTTTTTTGCATGAAGCGATTTACTTTATGTTAAATATGGTTAACTGATGACACCAAATTTTGCGTAGGTCAATACTAAATAGCCTAAATGATGTAAGCGAATTTAAACCGACGATTAATAAAACAAATGCTTTGAGGGTTATGCTAGTACAGTTGCTACATCAACAAATATATAACTTTCTAGAATAAACTAAAAGGGTCTAGTATAATTTTCAATAATATGACTGAAGTATGCAACTATAGCTTTAGAAAATTCAGACTGAGCTCAAGAACGGGTTTTAAAGATAGAAACATTAGTTCCATTTGTAAATCTAAGACGTCGTACATCGTATTATTCATAGATTTAACCATAAGCATTTACCGGAATTTAATGAACGCATTCCATTTGGCATTCAACAAGTCCACTAAAACACCGTCCATCATCTCTAAATGTTCCGGGCTTTCCTTGAAAATAAAATTGTCATCGTTAGACCAAATCATTTTTGAAAATAATGTAATTTACGCTCACCCCAAAGACGACCAGATTCAGCGCAGAATTTTTACTTATTAGTCCTGTGTCGTTGTCGATGGTGTCTATCTGAGTCAGAGGATAGGCGGCACATGTAATACTGCCTGTCAAACACACCGAGTTGTTACGTTTTAAGGGTATAGATGTTATTGTGGAACTCGATTCATCTTACCGATTTGCCAGTAAATTTCTCGTTCGATGTTGAGTATATGGAAAAAAATCTGGATTCGAGCCAGTTTCGCTGCCAACGTGAGAGGCGTCAGATTCTGAACGTTTCTAATGTTAAGTTCCGCCCCAATCTCGTAAGCCATGTCGAAGGTCGACTGCCGACAACATTACAGTTATTTTAGTTATTTAAGTGTGTACCGTTTTAGGACCCCGGGAGTCCAAGAGTCCATTACCAGGTCCTTTTGTTATAAATCATAATAGACTCTTGGTCCAATGGTCCAATTGTTAGTGATACATTCAACAACTAACCAAAATCCAAATGCTAGAATTTAGTTGCTAAATCACCGTAGTTTGGTTAAACAGAAAGCTTAGATCTACTTTTAAGTTTGAATGTATCGATCATGAACTTAAGTAAAGTTTTTAACGCAAATGTAATTCCTTTATTCGATAAATGATGCTCTTCCATTACACCTTAACGCCAACAGCAGATTACTTAATAAGAAATCATGATTACAATTTTTTCGTAGATGACGAGCATGTGCAAGACCGTGTTTCCATTGGTGTCTTGGTTGTTGGGGTCGGCGCCTCTAGCCAACATCAAGCGGTAACTCTCTTCCTGTCCCAAGCATGCGGCAAACGACAGTGGGTATTCACCCCAATAAACATACCTGCAATTTCGATCATTGTTAATCATGCTCGACACAATCCAAAATTTGTTTTGAACTTCATCGAACCGAGAAAGTAAATTTAAGCTACAGTACTTACCCTTCGTAATTGGTATCTGGGCAGACGTTTACCCATTCGTGATCCAGCGAATCTGACCGAGAGGCCTTTTGATCTTCGGGGCACATGAAGTTACCGAAACATCGTTCGTTTAAGTTGGCACCGCTGTCCATCAGCACCTTGACCATGGCCGGATCTTCGTTGACGATGGCTATGTGCAGTACACTTTCGCCTAAAGTGAAGTTAAAACAAATTGAATCGACGGAGACTCCTATAGACCGGTGTAAATATCCTCGTGATGACAGAAGACAAACAAATAAAAATGGTTGTGTATTAAATTAGAAGACCGAACCGTAAGTACCGTAGTATTCGTCGACCATGTAAATGTCGTTGACCAGTTTCGGATAGAATTGTAGCAACCGTTTCGCCAGATCCGCATGTATGGAAGTGGCGTTCAACAGGCACAAATGCATCACCGTTTCACCGACTGCGCCTCGTTCTTTCAGGTCCCAACACACTTCCCGGTATTGCACTTCACCTGTAAAAATGAATAAAATAACACAAGATAAGACGAAGTCGAAGCTTTTTGAAGATTTACTTTGGCGCTTAAGCGATTACCAAGTTTCTCCAGTTCCTCCAATGTCGGTATGTCTTTATCGATTTCGTAATCGTTCGGGTCTTCTAGGGCTTTCAAGTGTGGGAGCTGCGAAAACCAAATGACATTAATCACAAAATTACGGTGAAAGGTGTGCTTAAGGTCAAGGTAACAATATAGTATGTTTTCCATAGAATAAATCACTGGCACTTCTCACAAAAACGACCAAACAGTGGTTTCACTATTTATCATTATAGTTAGCGATCTTGTTTATTATTTTTAACCCGTGAGTTCGTAAGCTACATGACAGAGTTAACTTCTGTGAGGTATTTAACTAGATAATATTAAAATTGAAATGGTCACCTACCTGTTTGGCTCTGGACCTGTCTCGGTTCCTGAGTAGCACCAATTTTGCAATAGGAATCTTCCTGCCCTCTCCTTTGTTGTACAATAAAGGTTCAACCTTGGTTTTAATGGCATAGTCTAATTCGGCGAATTGCTTGGTTTGCACAGCTCGCTTAATCAAGTCTACCAGCAAACCGCCTCCTGTAACATCCGATGGACACAATAAAAGGCTCAGTCACAGAATTAATTAAAAAACTATCGGTATTGCTCGCAAATATTAACTCGGATACTATGAGAATAACAATTGAAAATGTACATCTCCTCGTCCTAAATCTAGCTAAATCTTGTGCACAATTTCACGGTGCATTCACAGCTGTGTCTTATACGAACCTTTCAGATCCACAAGATTGTAGATCTGTGTGGAAGAGGTGTCCACCTGTTTCTTGACACCACTGGCCACATTGCTCTCGGTGTTTCCCATCGCCCGGATCCGCTACAGGACCGCTTGAGACAATGCTCATTTGCTATTGGAATTTGTTTGGATGGTCTGCGCTTGGGGGCTCATAACGACGGTAGGTACCTTGGCGAGTTTATCGTTCAAGACTGGTGGCAATACATGCGAAGGAATCCTATTTGCTACGGTGGTGAAGTGTGTGTGTTTGACGAACCCACCCGTGCCAGGAGCCGAGCGACACGCTAACCTACTCCTCCGCCGCCCTTACGTGCACGAAGAAATTCAATACCATGTAAATCCACACGAGAGGGTCAAAATTATATCTGGCAGCATGTACAACACAATGACTATATCCAATAAACAATTCCTATCCGGCTGTGGTCGTGTGCTCGGTGCTGTTTTTTGAAATACAGACAAAACCACCCTCTTCGAAAAATTACCATGTTTTGTTTGTTCGCAGCACGCTGTGGTTTTGCGGTTAACCTATTATGCGTGTAAAACATGTCTCGAGGTGGGTGAAGAGGGTTAGGATGCACGTTGTTGGAAATTATTATTCATATTCGTACAAAACAGAAGGTAGACAATCGTTTGTGAAGTGTTGTACTTATACATTAAAGTATATCAAGGTAAATTCTGCACACATAGTATACAAAAATAAATATCACAAAAATTGAATAAAACAATTTACAAACACTGAGAAGATGTATAAAAAGTACATATTATTATGTTGAAATTCGCTTAGACTCGTTTTTTCATGTTTTAAACTGACACTTATATTACATTTAGTTTGATTGTCTAGCAAATTGATAGCGAAACTATTTTCTTACCTCCAACAAATTTAAAAATGAAGAAAATTTTTATCAATTTATTAATATATCAGAAAATGAGAACATGGTACTAAAAAATGTGTAAACTATAAAACAAGATATTATACGTAGGTGAAACAACATTTGGTTTTTAAGTATTATTATTGGCTTTATACAATGTATTTTATATTCGCTATAATTTTTTTTAACAATAAGATACTATCATACCGTATTAATCTTATTTTATATGTATAAAAAAAAACTTATAACGCGGTTTATAAAACATATTTTTTCTCATATTCAGGTAATATTTACAGATAGAACCACATGTTGTTTTCGACACCGTACAACGGCAGTACATTTTTTAACTGAAAAAAGTGTGCACATTTATAAAAGATAAAAAAAAAAAGAATATTTCGAATTTCTTAGTTTTTTTATTTTCAGTATTACGTTTGTACAATGTTCTTTTTCCAAAACTTAAATATATTACCATCTATTTTTTTTGGTAAATCCGAGTTTCAAAAGATTCACATCTAGTAGTTCATTTATACTCTCCATCCTAGATTTCCCTAAAAGAGGTTGAAGCGTGTACCTAAAAAACATAAAGACATTTCAAAGATCATCTATAGCCAACTTTTGAGTATTCTATATATTTCTTAATTAACTTTTTTCGTCTATATAGGTGCACATCGGAGTATTTAAAATTTTAATTATTTTTTAACTATGGTTTTTGTATTTCATAAAATAACAGTAAAAAAAATCTGATGTTATACTATAAATAAAGCGTTCATTTGAAAAAAAAATAGCATTAATTTGTTTCCATTGGATCTAGTCTAAAAACTCTTGTATATAAAATTTATAAATCAATTATTAAGTAATATACCTAAATTTATTATACAGGGTGATCCAACTAACGTAAGACACTCATTTTCTCTGAAAATATGAACATTTTGAGAATTTTTTTTTCCCTTAACTTTTAGGTACATATTTTACTACAATATTCAATGTTTTGATCATTTTTATCACCAATCCTTAGAAGCCAAAAAGGGGAATTCTAACCTGGAATCTAAGTAATCTGTAGATAAGAACCGTTTGTCTATCATTATTTAAAAATCTTTTACAGTGACTTCCTAGTTGTTAGAATTTTATCACAAATTGGACACTGCAAACATAAATATGAATTTTAAGTTCTACCGGTTTTGGAAAACCGAAGAAACATGATAATATTTATGAAGAGGAAATGTAGTATCTCTACAAAGTCATAGCTAATGAACAGATTACTGAAAATAAAAAATTCAAACGCTAACATATTTTTTAATTTTTTGTTTACAAAATTATATAAATAACTAAAAACATCTAAAAAAACCAAAAATCTCCGGCCTTTCGGCTTATAACATAATATAATACTATTGTAAGAGTTCTACGTTAAACTTTGATCATTATGGTACAACTACAGTTGTACAGATAAAATATGTAGGTACAAAACTAGGTTGACCATTATTGTACATTAGTAATTTCTTAATACATGTTTTTCTTAGTTATTTAGGCGAAACGGTTTATAATTGTGATTAAATAATTCGGCTATGTTTACACATCGAACCACAAGTTGTTTTCGATATCGTACAAAGGGTTTTCTATTTTATTTTTTTACTGAAATAACATTTTTAAACATATTTTATTATATTACTTTTATTTGTGTGTAGGGAAATAAATAATTTACAATGATTGTAGTTTATCTTTTAAAAGATTTAATTGACGTGGACAACGCCGGGTCGTAGGTGTAAGGACTTCATAAGGTCAAAACATAAAGCTAAGAAAACTGTACGGTTTTTTAACCCAAGTATATATCATAATATATTAGTAGACAAATAATTATTCGTTATGTATTTACAAAATGCGCCAATGTTTGCAATAGGTCTGTCTTGCCTACCGTGTGTCACCTGTGTACACTGTACATGAACGACCAAGAAATACTAACAAAATTCCCCAAATGTTTACATCAATAGGTAACAATAATACATTTTTTAAGGGTTTTTTAAATAATCGCAAAACTCTGATAAAATGTTTTAATGTTATAGCTATTACAATTATTGATTAAAAATAAATTTACCTATTAAACGTAATATGCAATTTATAAACTTAGCTCACAGTCCATAGGTACTTGGTAGGATATCACAATGTGAATTTGATGTAATATTATGTTATTTTTTAAAACGCCCTGTTTTTGTAGAATAATAAAAAAAACGGAGGTATGTTAATAACTCAACTTGTAAAAATTACACAGTCACAATGACTTTAATATGTACTGTGTCTGTAGTTGGTGCATATTTATTTTTATTAAATATTCAATATAATTTGTACCCAAAACGCATTGAAAAAGCTGTTTGAATTTTCTATAAAGTTTTGTCGTTTAAAAAATTCTAATTGTTAACATACAATTTACATTTTAGATTTTGCGCACAGCAAAGGAAGTATTATTGGTTTTTAATGATAGGTTATGCCTTTTATTGGTTTTTGCGTTTCAATAATTTCGCATATATTTAGGCTTGTTAAATGTGATGTACTTAAACTGTGGACAGGTCACACTAAACACACCCTACTCGATTGTTGAATGACTTTATTTGATCTGGTTGTAATACTACAGTTAGACCTATCTTCAAACTAAGGCACGGGGATACTCAACCAAGACAGTTAAAATTAAATATTTTTTTTTTTTTAATTTTAACATATCATATTGTCTTGCAATAAGTAAAAAATCAATAAAAACTATAGGTAATAGGGAAATATGAATTAAATTAGAAAGTTAAAAATTATTGTACTTATTAACTTCAATTTGAAATGTACTCTCAGAATTAGTTGAGAAAATTATAGTATAATTTTAGCTTCGGACCGGAGCTAAAAAGGTATAGTTTTGGCATGATGATTTTTTAATGTATGTTTGATTGATATTGGACACATGATTTCTTCTGAACGCACTGAACTAATTTTTTTAGGCGGCATGGCCAAAGATCCATGTATCAGAAATAAGACCTAGAAGGAACTTAATTAGGCCAAGAAAACATCTAATATTTATAGCTAAATTGCACTACTCATTTGTTTTTAATCAAAAGAACACTTGTTTATTACTAGTTTTGTTTGTCACATATTTTGTTTACACAAAAAACCCAAATACTGTTTTTAAGCATGTGTTTTTAATTTATAAGAAAAACAATGTAATAAATAATACATAAATGTGTAAAAATCTTATGTATACATAAAAGTTATAACAATTAAGCTACACAGCTTGGAACTGTTTTCAATCTTGCAGTATCCATTCTCACAATAAGTACTGCGGTAATTCAGAAACCATTTAAAAGCTATAACTATAGCTGGTTTGTATTCATTTTTTTACAACAATAATTATAATACAAAAATACATTATAGGTACAAATATTAAATTGTTTGAAATTAGTTTTGACTTCAAATCTAATAATTTAATATTTTAAATACCTGTTTATAGTATAAAAAGTTAACATGTATTTGAAAAACATTATACTATTAATCTGCGTGACGCTATACATTTCACAATGTCTGGGTACTCGTATATCTAATGATCAACGTGTAAGTAAAACGAGCAGTAGTTATTAATGATTGATAGAAAATTCAGTGATTCTAGATGAACAATGTGCAAAATGTGTTATATTGTTAAGATAATTTATTAAATGTTTTATCCTTCCCCGTCTTCGTACCGAAGAGTATATTTAAGTTATAACTACACTTGTAAACAATACAATAACAATTAAAATTAACGTTAACACTTTGAAAAAATCCGCATAACAAATACGTCTGGAAGTTTGGGGTTTTCATTTTTATGTGTAAATTATAATATACATTTTAACGTCTAATTCTTATTCTAAAAACAATAGGAAATTATTAGTTACATAGTCGAGAAATATGCAAATCCAAATGGCATAGACAATGAAGAAAATGGCGATCTGAACCTAATAGGCGTAAAAGAAGTCATTGATGATGTAGAAGTGCAACTCCAAATAAACAAACCTCTTTCCAGTGTTGAAGAATTAAAAGTGCTATTATCAAGTAATAAACAATTCAAAAATATCCAATAAATTTATGGAGTTAATTGTTCAGGAAATATTGAAAAGACATTTTAATAATCAAGTTTGTCATTTGTATAGGTGTAAATTCGTTTGCATATAATAACAAACATTTTTACTTAATAACTAGATAAAAAATTTAAAGAAAGGGGGACTTTTTTTAATGATGTAGAAAAAAAAATGTGCACATTGTATAGTATAATATCAATTTTTTTTTTTAGTTTAAAATGTTCGATAAAACTGTATAAGTATTACATTATAATTATTATTATTATTATGTCCAAAGCATCTATATAAAGTCTGGACACGATAAGAAGAATTAAAATGTTACACATTATTTTTTTCTATTCCTTCCAAGTAAATAATCCTAATTTGGTTATTTAAAAAATGTGCAAATTTTTTTTCAATTTCAGGCTATTTATTCACATTTGACGATGTCAAAAAGTACTTCGCAGAATACACAGGACAAGTTTTGAAGCCGGGAAGGTCTTTGGTAAACAAAAAACTATCTGCCAAATAAAATTTTAGTTAAGTGTTGTGTGCTGGGACACTCGAGATATTCCAAGTTTTAACTATTATATATAAAATAGTTTGGAATAATTCTTGTAAGATTTTCGCTGATTTGTAAAAAAGGTGAATTATTGTTTGGAGAATTAATCTTATGATTGAAACAATATTTTTAGGAATTTTTACAGTTTCAGTTTTTTTTCTTCTCGGATCTCGTACAATACAGTTTTTCTCTTAAATCAAAAAATATATATAGATACGTGCCACCAGTAAAACGATAAGATGTTCATAGCAAATTATGTAGTCAATGATTTTCCACACATAAAAAAAAAATAAAAACAATAACTATTTTTTACCGATTTCATGCAGATTTTGTCCCAAAAAGGAGAGTACATACAATAAATATTATTGTTTTTCCTCATATGCTTTAATTTCTATGAAAATGATATGATTATGCTAAAAAAAATCTAATGGTTAGGCCTTCATATGTTGCTGTAGAAAAATCAGTTTTGCTTAAATTTTTTTAACGTCTTACACTAGTTTAATCTTAAGATAGTGAACAATTTGTTGTTAATCTTTTTGAAAAAATTCTAATGCCTAGTATTTGTTCTAAAATTAATAGACTAGAATTACAGATCTTTTTAATTGGTATGGAAACACAAACGGAATAAACTTTCAAGTTTTAAAAACCCTTCTTGGCGAATTATCTCCGGGTACAAAGTATATAAAAGCCGGCGGATTTCCATATCTTCAATTCCCGAAAACCGCAATACCGTACAAAACGGAAATATCAAGTAATAATCAATATACTTTTATTATTATTTTAACTTTACTGATAATGTAATATTTAAATTTAAATCATTATATGTTTACTTACAATATTTTGAAATAAAAAATGATTGCAAGTGTAACGCATTCTTATTCACAACTTATTTGCTGTTAATTATTTGATTAGCTTGTTAAAAAATGTTTAACAATTTGTACTTTCAGTAAACAAGTTTGCTAATGAGGAAGTTGAGTTCATCGTCGTTGATTATTTTTTCAGTAAATAGTTGGATTTATATTATAACTTTTATTAAATTTATCTATATATGAATATATATTTTTGTACGTGGTTTGTCACATACAATTATTGTAGTTTTGATTAAATAATAAATCATTTTGCTCTTTTATTTTGTTAGAACTTATTATATTACTTTAAGTATAAGTACCCGATCGCGGCTGATTTAAACATGGATAAGTTTTTGTGCTGGATACACATTTGAAATTTGCGTTTCGTTGATATATAACGAAATTAAGTGATTCATAAATTGTTTTATTATAGGTAAGTTAGCTACTCTAAAACGTATACAGCCAGTACAGCGGAGTAGGCGTATCGTGAGGTCACAGGTTTACAGGATATATTACAACTATAAGTGATAAAAGAACTCAGCTGTAAGTATGTTCAAACCAGTACAGTCTAAACAAAGCACAGTACAAACTGTTTACAAATTAGCATCAAATGTGTTTATTTGAAAGTGAATCTATCCCAGTAAGCCAGTACAGAGGGATTGAGACTAATGGGATCAAAATATAGTGGGGACGGAGTGAGGAATTTTTTAAAATAAAAGTATTAAAACCACTTTTAAAAAAACGCTCTGATGCCAATCTGTAATGGTAGACATACAAATATCGATAAAAGTCAAAATCATAATAACAAAATTTGTTATAGCAAAATTACAATTTCACAATGTTCTCGAATCAGTCATCACATTTTAGGTTTTTATCACACAGATGTAACTGTATATTCTTTTTAAACTGCTTATGTGAACTGTGTACTGATACAGTACTGTAGGGTCAGAGTATAGTGAGATCCGAGCATATTATAGCTTAAGTGATAAGACTACTTTAAATAAACGCTTCGATACGAATCAGTATACGGTAGGAATATAAATACTGATAAAAGAACTATCGTGAAAAAAATAAATTTTACTCCCAGTAAAAGCAATGCCGCGATTACGAGGGCTGGAAAAGGACAACTCACTGACTTGGATGGAAATATTAAAAAAAAAACTGTATTCAACTACATAGAAGTACAATTTTTTATTTAAAAGAAATATTATACGTATACAGGCATACAGCTATTTTTCTGTTGGTCACATCGAGATGCAAAATTCAAATTATGGTGCGTGATTTGGCAAAGAATATCACATGTGTTCTGCGTATATTTGAATAAGTCAAGTTTAAACGGCACAAAGGTGTTAACACTAAACGTAAAAATAAAATATAATAGGTAGTAAACCGGAGTAACTAAGTAAAAAATAAAAATTGTTATAGAAAAATGCTTGAAATAAATAATAATTTGATGGCATTAGTGATAAGCTACGTCCCAATCTTTCGACTTACTTCCAATAAAAAGTCTTGACCGCGTTTTCTCGAAAAACACAAAGTATATTAATCATTATAATATTTGATTGAAACTCATTTTATTCATATGCAACACTATAAATTATTTATAAATTTTATAAACCGTTGTCCAATTATAATACCTTAACAGTAAATATGCTATACATACAGGTTGATACAGGTCATTCATAAATTGCTTATTATAAGTTAGCTTTTTTTAATATGTAAAAACTCTAAAAAAAATTCTAACAGTTTTTTACACAAGTTATTTTTAGTATATTTTGTTGAAACTTTTACAATTAATATCATTAAATATAATATGTTTAAAACCGAAACTGTTAGTCAAATAACCTTAATAATAAAAATACAACCTATGACCTCTTAACTGAACGTCGTTTTTTTAATATATATATATATATATATATTTATTAGCATTTCGGATCTGTAGAGGTGCTACGAGTAATCAGGTCGACAGGAAAAGAAGCTATCATGAGTACAGATTAAGTCCTTGATAACACAGCTAATGAAAACTGTCAATTTAATAAACTGATCGATATTATGATCACAATGATTAAGTAAGGTCAATTTGCATAAGTATTGTCATAGTATTGTCAGTATTATCATATTGGCAAAAGACATCGTTACTTTAAAAAAGACTATAAGTGTAGAATAGTGCAACAACATAATATTATTCTTATAGTAAAAGGTTTTAAATTGAATCATGTAACAACATCTTCATCATCGCTGGACTAGGATAAGGTACGTGGAAATATTATATAATAATAATTACTAAACTCGGTTTGTTCGTTACATATTTTGTTTACACAAATAAATAAAATACTGTTCTTTTAAGCGTGTGTTTTTATCTTACAAGAAAAGCAACGTAACAAATAACAAATAAACGTTTAATAATCGTATGTATATATAAACGTTATAACATTTGCAATAACATAAAATAAAAATATGTTTTTTCTATGAGCTAAAAAAACTTGGAGCTGTTTTCAATCTTGCAGTATCCATTCTCACAATAAGTACTGTGGTAATTCAGAAACCATTTAAAACCTATACAACCATAGCTAATTTGTCTTTATTTTTTTACAACAATATTTTAATCACAGTCGTTAAATAAAGCAACATTGGTACACATATCAAATAGTTTCAAATTAGTTTCGACTTAAAATCTGATAATTTAATATTCTAAACTCGCGTTTATAGTCTAAAAAGTTAACATGTATTTGAAAAACATTATACTGTTATTCGGCGTGACGTTATACTTTTCGCAATGTCAGGGCGATTTCATACGTGGTAAGGATCATGTAAGTATAACAGGCACTTATTAATTATGATTGATAGACAATTCTGCGATACTTGCCTATTTATGAGCAAAATGTATTCTATTATTTAGATACATTTTTTGGGGTTTTATTCTTCTCCATTTTCGCACCGAAGAGTTTATTTAAGTGATAACTACACTTATAAACAATACAATAACAATTAAAATTAACGTTAACACTTTGAAAAAATCCGCATAACAAATACGTCTGGTAATTTGGGGTTTTAATTTTTATGTGTAAATTATAATATACATTTTAACGTCTAATTCTTTTATTGAAAATAATAGAGAACTATTAGTTACATAATCAACGAATATGCTAATCCAGATGGCATAGACAATGAAGAAAATGGCGATCTGAACCTAATAGGCGTAAAAGAAGTCATTGATGAAGTAGCAGTGCAATTCCAAAAAACCGAAAAACTTTCTAGTGTTGAAGAATTGCAAGAGATGTTATCAAGTAATAAACAATGCAAATATATCCAATAAATTTATTGAATAAATTGTTCAGGAAATATTGAAAAGACATTTTAATAATGATGTTTTTCATTTGTATAGGTGTAAATATTGTTACATATTTTAATAAATTATCCTAACTAAATATCTAGATAGAATATTAAAAAAAAATGGGGGACATTTTTCAATGATGTACAAAAAAAAGAGCAAAGTTATAAATGATAAATCTTCATAAAACTGTATATTTACCACATTGTTGTTATTATTAAAAAGTTAAACTTTATTATTTTCAATTCCTTTGGGGTAAATAGTCCAAATTTTGTTCTTTAAAAAATGTGCAAGTTTTTTTTTAAATTTCAGACTATGTTTTCACATTTCCCGATGTCAGAACATACGTCGCAGAATACATTGGAAAATATATGATGGATTCAGGAAATTTTATGGTAAATAAAAAACTATATGCCATATAAAATGTTAGTTAAGTTGTATGTTCTAAATATCTCGAAATTCAACTATTCTATATAAATAAGGTTGGCATAATTTTTGTAAGATTCTTGCGGATTTGTACAAATTAGAAATTATTGTCTAGAGCAGTGGGCGCAACCTTTTTTGATCCACGACCCTCAAATTAATTTACCTCGATCAGGCGATCCCCCATTTTTATACTAATTACATAAGTTTAATACATTGTAAATTTTATTGGTGACCCCCTTTTAAAATTTGATGACCCTCAGGTTGCTCACCACTGGTCTAGAGAATTAATCTTGTAATTGAACAATTTTTGTAAGATTGCAGTTTTTCCACATATGAAAAAATGCTTTAAATGCTAAGAAATTGATATGATTATGCTAAAAACGCTATAGAAAAGCCAGTTATTATTTTAATTTGTTTAACGCCATACATTTCCTTGTTCTTAAAACAATGTACATTTTGCTTTTACTCTTTTTGAAAAACATTCTAATGTCTAGTTTTTATTCTGAAATCAACAGAAAGAACTAAAAAAACTATTTGATAAGTATGGAGACACAAGAAAAATAAGCTTTCAACAGTTAAAAGACCTACTTGGCAAAATAAATCCGACGAAGAAGTATGTAAAAGTCGGATTTCCATATCTTCAATTCCTGAAAACCGCAATACCGTACAAAATAGAAAAATCAGGTAATAATCAATATAATTTTTAAAACATTTTTAACTTTACTTATAATGTAATATTTTAATTTACATCATTATACTTCATTTACAATATTTTTAAATAAAACAAATTTGCAATTGTAGCGCATTGATTTTTTTATTAAAAATATTTTGTAATTTTAGAACTCAAGTTCACGAGGGACGAAGTTGATTTCATTGTCTTACGTTATTTTTTTCCTAATATTTTGATTTAAATTATAACTTTTATTAAATATATTACATATATAAGTATATATTTTTTATGTATGAAGTTTGTCACATACAATTATTGTAATTTTGATTAAATAATAAATCATTTTGCTCTTTTATTTTGTTAGAACTTATTATATTACTATTGGGTTTTATGAATATTCGAAACGGCAGTGGAAATAAAATTTACTAAAATGTCTGTGTGCACAAATCCCAAGGTGGTTTGTTTAATACGACAATATTTTCAATTTATGATTTATTATATCCTTCAATATTTAATTTAAGGTCGTTTAACAAAAAAATGTACTTTGTAAAAATAATAAGATACATTTTCTAAACAAAAAAGTATTAAATAAGTATATACTACTTACCTAAGCAAGAATTTTAGTATTTTCTAATTATCATAAATATCAAGTGTTTGTCATACTCACAAGTTCTTCTGGAAGAATCGATTGAAGAATAACACCCTGACAGTGCAAGGAGCATTGCGCTACCACAAAGAAAAATAGAATATTATTTTAATACATTACAATTTTTACTAAGAAAACTACTCGATAATTGTTCCTACGGCACTTTATATATTATTATAACCAGAATATAATTCTTATTTAATTACTTGAACATGACTCATTGCAATCCTTTTTTTTTTGCAATACAAAAACAGTAAACTCAATAATATAATACATAATAATATAATACAGATTGTTTTTGTAAACGCCCAAGACTAGATAAAAAAAAAAATAACGATAATGTTTGCCTTAAATATTATATGAATGTTAATTTTATAGTAGAGACCTAAACGAGCTAATTGTAATACCTACTAAATCTGACACATAATTACAATTAAACACATTGATTATTATATAATTATGAAGTACCATAATGATATTAATTTTTTATAAAAATGTTTTAAAGTTCTACCCTTAGAAAAAGCTAAATTTTTAATGGGTCGTTAAATGCCGGTTTATTGTCGATTTTCTATAATAATAAAAAAAACAACCTATGTGAATAATTTTTGGTTTTTTTATGATAGAATGTTATTTCAAGGTCATTGTAATTATCTCCCTTCAGTAAGAGGTTTTGGGCGGGATGATTTTGGAATATCTTAAAACAACCTGTAAAATATATTTTGATATTCATATTTTTAGTAAAATAAAATTTGATTGGACTTTGAAGTTTATAACATCAGTAAAAAGAGCCGTAGCCTTTTGACATTTTTTTTTTTTAATTTGATTTCTACAATAGCCGTAAAGCATTTTAAAAAGAACCATTAACATACGTTAACCTAGAAAAGTGGCAAATATTTTTACAGAATTGAAATCTAACCATCTTGAACTGGCGTAATTATGTCAGGCTTTTAGGCATAAAGTATTCAACAAACAGGCCACTTCAACCCCACTTAAGATGGGTCAAAAAATATTAAATGCAATTAAACTTATAATTTTTACAAAAGTTATTGGCTTTTTTGGAACTTCAAAATATGAATTTTTATCATAATCCTTTTTAGTGACTTACAAAAACCAATTAATATTAAAACATTTTTCAAAATTAAATTTGAAGTTTTTTTATAAAATATGGTACATTTTTTATGCAGCCACTGAGCTAATAGGGAGGGTTATCTAGAGATGGACCATTCACGGTCCACCCCATAATTACGCCTATGGTTTTGCATAGAAAATATCGCCTTCAATGGTGCATCAGCCCCATTGAGCCGAAATAATAATTATTACAAAATATACACCAGTCTCAAATAACTCAAATTTTTTACCATCATAAAAGCTACATGTCAAGAGCGCGAGTGAACATAATTATTTATTTTTTGACAATTTTTTAAAAATAATATCGGTAAATGAAAAGTTGTTTAATAAAAAAATGTTTGATGTGGGTATCCAAAAATAATTTCTCTTTCTACGTATTTAGAAATCTGTTAATAAATATAACTTCTCAAACATGGCAAAGGCCGTTATTATTTATAGGATGTACTGATTACTTTTAACAGTATTTATTTTTTTTTTTAAGGGGCTAATATGTAGAAAAATTGTATTAAATGAGTATTTATTACAATATAATACTCTATTGTTTGTTCAATATATTTTGGTTTTGTTTTATCATAGCACCATACTGCTTATAATTTTTTTGTTCTTAGGATATTATGGCCAATATTTTTTGAAAATTGTTCTCAATTTGCAATATAAAATATAAATAGATATTTTATCGACGCATAGGTTTCAATTGAAAATCTATTCATTGTTGTTAAAACAAAATTGTTCTTATTTTTTTTCTGCTGTTTTTGTCGTTGTAACTGTTCTCATTTGTACAGATGTTTCATATGTGAAAACATTTTACTGAAAAACAACTTATTTTTTGTTCTATATAGGTCAATGTATACTACTATTAGTTTTGCGAATTGTTGTTTTTAAGTTTCCACAATATTTTTTGTCCCTGAAAATTATTTTTCTGTTAGAACATATAAAAACCAATTTTACATGTAATATCACTATACACTATACAGTTTACCTCTCTTTAAGTTTAATTTTAATTTCTATAACTACGGTTAGAAAAAAAAAACAAATAAAAAAAATTTTCAACCACTTTTTCCTACTATTTTTCAAAACATATATTCTTTGCTTAAAAAAGGAATTTAATATAATATTCACTAAATTATTAAATTTTAATACATACAGGGTGATTTTTAAATTATGAGCCACTCAATAACTCATAGGATTTAATAAGAAATTACAATTTTTTTGTCATATTGTTTTTATACAATGTGATCTCAATTTTTCAAAATTTTTTTTTGTTTATACCCTCCTCCAAACTTAGTTTATTTGATAGCAACTTGTGAAACTTAAATGGTAACGTATATATTTGATTAATTTTTCAAGTTCAGAATAATGTACTAAAAATTCTGACTGGTCGATAACCAGTTTCGGGTAACTAATTCATTGACAGTCATTGAAGTTTCAAGTTTAGGGCAGGAGGAAAGGTGGAGTGTAGTATTATTTTTATCTGCGCGCATTTCCCAACCGCACTTCCCCTCCCACCCTCGAGGGATCAATAAATAATGTTTTATCGGCTCTATACCAGTAACTCTGATACCGAAATTTCTTTTTCGTCCAGTTTGGAAGAAAAAATCGTTAAATTTTGGCAGTTAGAAAAAGTAAAAAATAAGACCGTGTACAGGCTGGATAAAATACTGTGTAAAAAGCTTTTTGAGCGAAGCGTTAAGCACGACGTCGACGGTCAATTTACAGTGTCGCTTTCTTTGAAAGATAGCCCGACCTATAGGGAAATCTTATAATATTGCTTTACGCCGTTTTTTAAGTTTAGAACGACGATTACAACGCGGTTCGGAACTTAAAATCAATTATACTCGATTTACGGAAGCACAGTAAGAAAGTATTAAGGTGAGGTGCAGTGTCCACAGATTACAGTCGAAACGATTATTTGAATGTAATCTTATCCCTTTCAGTAATAGTAATTCTTGAAGACCAGTATATCATCTCCGTCCCCACTATGCCCCGACCCCACTACACCGGCTTTTTCGTATTCTAGGTGTGAATCATAAAGACACATTTTGTTTTTTTCATATTAGCTTATCGGTTAGCCAGTTGTTTTTTTTTTCGATAATATTTTTTTTAATGATAAAAAGTCTACGGCTATACCAAAATCGGTATCTAAAACTCTTGTTATTGTAATAAGGTCACAGCAGTTGTTCTTTTAATATTTTTTTTCAGACTTTTGTTCTGTACTTTACATAAAAAATCGAATAATATAAAACATTTGCAATTCTACAGGGAGTTAAAATAAATAATAGCTATAATAATTATCAATTAATGTACACATGGTATGTTTAAATTTTAAAAATGAATTAATATTTAGTTGTAACAGTCTTGGTTGAATATCCCTTATTGCCTTAGTCTGAAGATAGGTCTAACATAATATACCTTTTATGTACCTATATCACGTGTAATAAAAAATACCTACAGTCAACATTTTTTTTTTCATGGTAAAAGAATCCAAAAATTGACTTGAACACTATAAATGGGAATTTCGAATACTATTATGGGCTTACAGACATTGAATTTTGGTGTATGACCTGTTCATAATTTTTACATAGATCAAACTGTCGTTTGTATTTTACACTCTTTAGCTATGGTTATCCCCTCTCAGGCTGCTTGACAACTACTCGAGGGACCACACAAAACTCATTTGGAAGTTAAGTCTATTTGGTTATCCAATTCCAAGGTTACCAGTCTTAAAAGAAGAAAGGTATACACAATTACATACGAATCATTAACCATACTTTCGTGCCTTGCCCATTAAACGATTGGTGAGTAGCAGTTAAGCGTGGCTAAACAACTGGACGGCAGTAGGCCTGTTGTTTTGGCTTTTTTAGGGTGTGATTATGCGTCACTCCCATTAATAGTAGGGAATTATAAAATGTCCCCATGTAGATGGTTTTTTCATGCGGAACGCTGACTCAGTGTATTTGTGTATTATTCTTTATTTAAAATAACATTTAATTTTTCAATTTATTTTAATTGTCATACTTAATGATATTTAAGTATTTAATAATTGTGTGCGATACTATGATTGGGGCATACAGTTGATTATAGAATGTATAATTTATACTATGTATTATAACATTATTTGATTGTGTGCAAATATAAGATTTAGTGCATGCAATTTGATTATTACAATGGGTTGTAAGAATAATAACCTATGGAGTGTCCATTATAGGCGTACAAGGGCACTAAGCTAAAACTCAGTTGTTTGAAACCTACCCTAACCGATTTCCATACACTTTATTTCATTCAATTGCTTTCGATATTCAAGTAAAAAAATACCAGCTAAGTCGGGTAACTCATAAAGTCATATATTAATTTATTATTAAGTTTGATAATACATTTTTTGAGTTATTGATATAATATAAGGTGACGGAAAGGACTAATTAGTATGCACCCAAGTATAATGGGAAAATCGCAAAATAAACAAACAAATATTTTATTACTTGTATTATATTAGTTATTAAATCGTCAGCAGTTATACAAATGTATTAAATAATCTATTGATTGCTGACAACCATTTACTCTTGTATGTAATTAATATTCTTGTGCATAGTTCATGTTTCATACTATTATTTTGTAATATCTGAAACAAATATATACTTTTAAAAAATGTTTTTGTCTTGCAATAAGTAAAAATTCAATAAAAACTATAGGTAATAGGGAAATATGAATTAAATTAGAAAGTTAAAAATGATTGTACTTATTAACTTCAATTTGAAATGTTTTCTCAGAATTAGTTAAGAAAATTATAGTATATTTTTAGCTTCGGTCCGGAACTAAAAAGGTATAGTTTTGACATGATGTTTTTTTATGTATGTTTGAAATTGGACACATGATTTCTTCTAACCCACTGAACTAATTTTTTTAGGCGGCATGGCCAAAGATCCATAGATCAGAAATCGGACCTGGAGGGAAGTTAATTGGGTCATGAAAACATCTAATACTTACAGCTAAATTGCACTATTCATTTGTTTATTACTGAACTAGTTTTGTTTGTCACATATTTTGTTTACATAAAAAAACCAAATACTGTTTTTTAAGCATGTATTTTTATCTTACTTCTTGTAAAAACAATGTAACAAATAATAGATAAATTTGTAAAAATCTTATGTATACTTTAACTACACGGCTTGGAACTGTTTTCAATCTAATAGTATTTTTCCTTACAATAAGTACTGCGGTGTTCAGAAAGCATTTAAAAACTATAGCTCATTTGCCTTATCTTTTTACTACAATACTTTAATCACAGTCGTGAAATAAAGCATCATAGGTACAACTATCAAATAGTTTCAAATTAGTTTGACATAAAATCCAAGAATTAAATATTATAAATCCGTCTTTTTTTTCTAAAAAATTAAAATGTATTTAAAAACCGTTATACTTTTATTTTGTCTGACGTTATACTTTTTGCAATGTCAAGGTGGTTTCATACCTGGTAAGGATCGTGTAAGTATAATGAGAACTTAATAATTATGATTAAAAGAAAATTCAGTAATTCTCGTTTAACTGTGCAAAATGTATTATATTGTTAAGATAATTTATTTAACGTTTTATCCTTCCCCATCTTCGCACCGAAGAGTTTATTTAAGTGGTAACTATACTTATAAACAATACAATAACAATAAGAAAAACTACTATGATATTAATGTTTTCACACTGAAAAAAATAGCAAAGCTATTATATTATGGTAGTTTTTTTGCATTATTTATGGATTTTTTTTATGGGTAAATTATAATATATACATATATATTTTAACGTATAATTCTTATTCTAAAAACAATAGGAAATTATTAGTTACATAGTCGAGAAATATGCAAATCCAAATGGCATAGACAATAAAGAAAATGGTGATCTGAACCTAATAGGCGTAAAAGAAGTCATTAATGATGTAGAAGGGAAAATCCAAACAAACAAAGCTCTTTCCAGTGTTGAAGAATTACAAGAGATATTATCAAGTAATAAACAATTCAAAAATATCCAATAAATTTATGGAGTTAATTGTTCAGGAAATATTGAAAAGACATTTTAATAATCAAGTTTGTCATTTGTATAGGTGTAAATTCGTTTGCATATAATAACAAACATTTTTACTTAATAACTAGATAAAATATTTAAAGAAAGGGGGACTTTTTTTAATGGCGTAGAAAAAAAAATGTGCACAATGTTTGATAAAACTGCATTATTATTATTATTATTGTAATGTCCAAAGAATCTATATAAAGTCTGGACACGATAAAAAGAATTATAATGTTACACATTATTATTTTCTATTCCTTCCAAGTAAATAGTCCTAATAATTTGGTTAAACAAAAAAACAAGCACCCTTCCAGTGTTGAAAAATTGAAAAAACATTATTAAGTAATTAACAATTAAAAAATATCCAATAAATTTATTGATTAAATTGTTTGGAAAATATTAAAAAGACATTTTAATAATGAAGTTTGTCATTTGTATCTAGGTGTAAATTCTTTATTTTTTTAATCTCAACTCGATATCCAGATAGAATACTAAAAAAAATAGGGGGACTTTGTTTAATAATGTACAAAAAAAACAAGCAAAATGTGAGGTATAAGATGAATTTTTTTTTTTATAAATGTTCTCTATTATTTTAAGATTACACGTTATTTTTTTTTATTTGCATCTAGGTAAATAGTCCAATTTTGGTTATTTAAAAAATGTGCACATTTTTTTTTTAATTTCAGACTATGTTTTCACATTAGACGATGTCGAAACATACGTTGCAGAGTACACAGGACGAATTTTGAAACCGGGAATGTTTTTGGTAAACAAAAAACTATTTTATTTAAGTTGTATGTGCTGCGACACTCGAAATATTCGAAGTTTCAACTATTATATATAAATTAGGTTGGAATAATTCTTCTAAAATTTTCGCTGATTTGTAAAAAAGGTGAATTAAGGTTTGGAGAATTAATCTTATGATTGAAACATTTTTTTAAGGGATTTTTACAGTTTCAGTTTTTTTTCTCCTCGGATCTCGTACAATGCAGTTTTTCTCTTAAAATCAAAAAATATATCCCACCAGTAAAACGATAAGATATTCATATCAAATGATGTAGTCAATGATTTTCCACACATAAAAAAAAAATAATAAAAACAATAACTATTTATTACCGATTTCATGCAGATTTTGTCCCAAAAAGGGGAGTTAATACAATAAAGATGATTGTTTTTCCTCATATGATAAAATGCTTTAATTGCTATGAAAATGATATGAATATGCTAAAAAGTTCTGGTGGTTAGGCATTCGTATGTTGCAAAAAAATATCAGTTTTTGTCTAATATTTTTAACGCCCTACACTTCTTTAGTCTTAAAATAATGGAAATGTTCTAATACTTATTTTAAAAACATTCTAATGTCTAGTTTTTATTTTAAATTCAATAGAACGAACTAAGAAAACTATTCAATGCGTATAGAAGCGGAAGCAAAATACAATTTCTAGATTTAAATGACCTACTCGGCCAATTACTTCCGGGTACAAAGTATGTAAAAGCCGGCGGATTTCCATATCTTAAATTTCCAAAAATCGCAATACCGTACAAAATAAAAAAATCAGGTAATAATTAATATAACTTTTTTAGTTTTTTTCAACTTTACTAATAATACAATATTTAAATTTACATTATTACACTTCACTTATAGTATTTTTAATTAAAACAAATTTTCAAGTGTAACGCATTCTTACTCACAACTTATGTGCTGTTAATTACCCGATTCGTTTATTAAAAAAAGTTTAATATTTTGTAATTTTTAGAAAACAAGTTTACCAAGGAGGAAGTTGAGTTCATCGTGGCTGCTTATTTTTTTCCCGAAATAGTTTGATTTGAATTATAACTTTTATTAAATTTATATAAATATATAATATGTATATTCATGTATGAAGTTTGTCACATACAATTGTTATATTGTTGTTTTGATTAAATAATAAAACTTTTTGTTCTTTTGTTTTGTTAGAAGTTATTATATTACTTTAAGTATAACTACTTGATCCCGGCTAATTTAAACATAAATAAGTTTTTGGGCTGGATACACATTTGAAATGTTCGTTACGTTTATATATAACGAAATTAAGTAGTTTTATAAATTGTTTATTATAAGTTAGCTACTTTAAAACGTTGAAAGACAGTACAGTGGAGTCAGCGCATCGTGGGGACGGGTAAGTCATAGGTTTACAGGATGTATTACAAATGAAAGTGATAAAATGATGAAAACGATAAAAAAGTGATTAAATCACTTTCAAATAGACGTTTTGATGCAAAGCAGTAATTAGTATGTTCAAACCAGTAAAGTCCCAAACCAAGCACGGTATACACTGTTTACAAATTAGCATCAAATGCGTTTATTTGAAAGTGACTTTATCCCAGTAAGCCAGTACAGAGGGATCGAGGCTAATGGGATCAAAACATAGTGGGGACGGAGGGGACACAGGTCTACAGGAATTGTTATAAATAAAAGTGTTAAAACCACTTTTAAATAAACCCTTTGATGCCAATCGTTAATGGTAGACACACAAATATCGATAAAAATCAAATTCATAACTACATAATGTTATAACAAAATTACAATTTCACAATGTTCTCGAATCAGTCATCAAATTTTAGGTTTTTATCACACAGATGTAACTATATATTCTGTTTAAACTGCTTATGTGAACTGTGTACTGATACAGTACTGTAGGGTCAGAGTATAGTGAGATCCGAGCATATTATAACTTAAGTGATAAGACCACTTTAAATAAACGCTTCGATACGAATCAGTATACGGTAGGAATATAAATACTGATAAAAGAACTATCGTGAAAAAAATAAATTTTACTCTCAGTAAAAACAATGCCACGATTACGAGGGCTGGGAAAGGACAACTCGCCGACTTGGATGGAAATATTTAAAAAAAAAATTGTATTCAACTACATAAAAGCACAATTTTTAATTTAAAAGAATTTTTATACGTGTTCAGGTGTACAGCTATTTTTCTGTTGGTCGCATCGAGATGGAAAATTCAAATTATGGTGCGTGATTTGGCATAGAATACCGCATGTGTTCTGCGTATATTTGAATAAGCCAAGCTTCAACGGCAAAAAGGTGTTAACACCAAACGTAAAAATAAAATATAATAGGTAGTAAACCGGAGTAACTAAGTAAAAAATAAAAATTGTTATAGAAAAATGCTTGAAATAAATAATATTAGCTACATTCCAATCTTTCGACGTACTTCCAATAAAACATCTTGACCGCGTTTTCTCGAAAAAAATATTGCATATTATTCATTATAATATTTTATCGAAACTCATTTTGTTCATATTATGCAAGAATATAAATTATTTATGAATTTTATAAACCGTTGTCCAATTATACTGACTTAACAGGGTACATACAAGGTGATTGGTTATTGATGATCTTTTACAGAAAAATGTGTATTTTGTGTTGACAAAATTTTATTTTTGGGCCACTCCATAGCGGTATTTCTCCAAATCCGGAAAAAGTCGACTTAATAAAAAATTACCCAGTTCCGAAAACTGTGCAGGGTTTAAGGATATTTTTGGCCATGATGAATTTTTACCGTAGATTTATCCCAAAAGCAGCCGAAACACAGGCGCCTTTAAACAGTTTTCTCAAAAATAGCAACAAAAAAAATTGACAAACGCCTTAATGATTGGTCGGAAACCTCATTAAACGCGTTCGAAAAAACAAAAAATGATGTTGTAGAAGCAACGCTACTTGATACTTTATAACTAATCGCACTAAATGTTTTTATTATTTATTCAATCAATTCACAAATGGAATATTTTTTTCAATATTTCTTCTTCACTTCAGTCGGCTGTTATTGTCAAAATGTTTAATTTTGATGCTTCTTTACAGTTTACATGCAAGTACTTATTTTGCACTTTTATTGCGCCGTTACCAAAACCAAATCTTCTTAACATTATCGTGAATAAGTTTTTATTTCTAACTTCTTCAAATTGATGAACATTTTTTTCCCAGAAGAATGTAATCAAAATTCTACTTTGGCCTTTGAATTTTGATCTTCCCATTGGTAGATTTTATCAAGAGGCGCGCTTGGCGTGGTCAATATACAAGATCATTTATTCTTAAAATAATCGCAATTAGGTATGTAGTTTTTATTTTTGTGAACATTTTTGTTTATGTAATTTTGCAAATTTGTAAAATTACCAAATATTAAGTTTTTTTAACTATTTACTATACCTTTATCAACTTAAATGTTAACGTACATATTTAAATTTTCAGTAGTCAGTACCAATCTTATTCGTCTTATAATACTAACGATTTGCCATGTATATAATTACAATCTTATTTATTTTATCTTCGACCATTCTTTAAAAAATAATACCTAATGTGTTATTTCTTGTGTTTGTTTATACTTAGCTTCACAATAGACACTAATCACTAGACAGTTGTCCAGGTCTACACTCTAGTGTATCATATATAATAATTCATAATATAACAACAAATATATTTATATAAAAAATTACATGTTTTTGTACATCCAAAAACAGTGCTGCGCGTTACAATAATTACACGATACTTATCAGTCTAAACATAGTTCCCACGCTGAAGTAATTTAGGCTAGTAGTAATAAAAAGGGGCTTTACCGCCCCCCCTTTTTTTACTAGCCATTTGTAGTAAACTAAACTAGTAATGACCACGCTCTTTATCCAAATTCCAGTAAAGCAAACTAGTAGCCAATAACAAAATCTTGTTATGTAGCATGTGCCATAGGTAACCTACAGTAGTGATTCAGTATGTATCAGTTTTCTTAGCTAGGTGGCTGAGCCGAATAAGATTAATACGATTAATTTTAAGCCAACCCGTTAACATTATTGACACTTATGCGTGGACCGATTCTCCTATTGTCTTGTCATATGCTAACGGTACCCCACGTGACTCGTTTAGAGTCCAAGTGTCGAATCGGGTTCACCGGATTCATTGTGTGCCGTTGGTCGTATTGGCCGACTTAAAAAGTTGTATTAATTCGTTGAAATGTATTGTTATATTTTGGACGTATTGTCTGTTTCCCTTTTTTTATGCATACAAACTTTTTGGGTGTATCTTATAGACTTAATTGTTATTAATCTGCACACAAAGTATGTTAGAAACTTAACCGTTTCTCGTTAAGCGTCGATCCAAAGCACGAGTCTCGATAGTGTGTTTGCTCACATAAGTAAATAAACGCTGTTTTCTATAGGCCTTTATATATATATATATATATAGTGTTCTATGTACTTTTACCTTTTACCTACTGAGAAATTAATTTCGAATAGGTATTAAATGAAAATTTGTGTTTGTTTTTTACCGATCATTGTATTTACTTTGAACTTGTTCGGATATAATATTATATTATAATCTCGGTGCGAAAAAAAACAGGCAGCAGAGTTCCATTGTCTAGCAGATTGTATACACGCCACGTAAATATTTTGAATAACGATGAATTTAAAAAATATCATAGCACTTTTGTGTGTCGTTTGTTTGGTCAGTACCGTAGATATCAGTACAGAAGATCAGACACCAGAGACATCAGAGAAAACAAAAGATATAACGGAGGGAATTTCTCAGGTGGTAAGTATCTAAAATTCCAAATTCTATTAGAAAGTCTACGTGACAAAAATAATATTATCTACTATAACAAAAATACAAGGACCATATAATAATAATCTTGTTTAATTTTTTATCTAAATAATTGTTAAAATAAATATGTCATTCGAATGACCAACAAATAATATTTCTATTCGAATACCCGTCAAATAATTGTTCATAGAATAATTTCTATTAAAAAAAAAACTGATTAAATGATTTATTCTGAGTTTACTCTAACTCTAACCATAAAAATCGAATTCAATTAAAAAAAAATATTCGAGTATAAAATGTTTGAACAAAGTAATTATTTGGATAAAACAGTTATTCAAATAAAAAAAAAATTATTCCAATAAATAATGCCCAACTCTGGTTGTAAGACATTATAATTTTTCACGATAAGACATAATTATTATTTAATCCAAAAATAATTATTATCATAGACACTTTAAAAGCTAATTGTAATAAGGTTAAAAGCGTTAAATCCGTTATAATTAGTCAGTTTATTATACAGGGTGATCCATTCGATAAAAGACACTCGTTTTCTTGGAATATATTCATATTTAAAAAAATATTTTTTCCTCTAACTCGTAGGTACATATTTTGTGGTTATCATAATTTTTAATAATTTTAACATTTTTATCTTCAACCCTTTTAACGTAAAAAAAAGTATGGACTTTGGTTTTTCATATTGTTTTTAATTCGATAAATATGTAAACAAAAATTTTGTAAAAATTTAAGAGTTCAAATTTTTCATTTTCATCAATCTGTTTGTTCACGCTATGTATTTTTGAAAACATTAATTTTTCTCATATAATAATGCGTCTTCGGTTTTCCAAAAAACTAATTGACGTGTTTGAACAGGTAGATATGAAACGCATGCCTTGATAATTTAAACATATTTGATTGTGTCTGGTTAACGGTGTTAACCGTTGCGAACACAAAATATAATATGCATATAACGGGCTACTAGTTTTTGGACATCCCAAAGAAATAAGCCAGTTTTGATGGAAATGTTATACATTTACAAAGTTGTAGCAAACGAACCGATTGATGGAAATTAAAAAAATTCAAACCCCAACGTTCTTTAACAAGTTGTGTCCACATATTTATCGAATTAAAAAAAATATGTTCCCGTTTGAAAAAATTAAGTCGATACATGGTTTACATATAAGCGATTAAGATAAACATTTCCAGAGCATTGAAAATATATTAAAATGAGTACATATTTAGATTAAAAAATACCTAAGTATAGCAAAAAAAAAAAAAAAATTTCAAAATATTCATACTTTCCAAGAAAACGAGTGTCTCACATCAGATTGCTCACACTACAAAAATATTATTTAATTTTTTTACTTATGATAACGAATATTTAGCAGCATAGAAACAACAAACTATAGTAGAAATATTTGCTTTTCTCGTCAGGAACTGCATTATGACTAGGTTTTAAAGTGGTTACGGACATGTTTTTGACATTTTTATGTCTTTGCTATGGCACACACACGGAAAATCGACACCGACACCGCTCATCATAACGAAAAATAACAGCTGATTTATCTGTTAGATAGGGGGTAAGAGATGAGGGTTGGGATTGGGGTGTGAAGGGGGGGGGGCATATATGTTGTATTCACAACGTCCAAAATAGAAATGAATAATAAATTCATTAATTTAAGGGGCCAAATTCTCTATGAACTGTTTTGGGCCAGATATTATGAAAACACTAAAATATTAGCCAGAAACTTGATATGTTTACTAGCCACCTTAGATACATAACAATGTGTCCCGTGGTATTGCGGACTCGTACGCAAGCTGTATAATACTTTAGATACAAATGAAGAAAGGGGAATTTGCGTTTGTTACTCCCACTGATCGGGGATTAGACGGTTTAGATTTGGCATTTTTTTTTGGTGTTTTTCAAACATTTTTTGGAATTGTTGACTTTACCCTATTTTGATAAAACGAATAGCATAAAATTTCACATAATATTCTAGGAAATAGACGCAGTTCTGGATGACCGTGTATCCGATGAATGGAAAAAGAAATGGCAAGTTATATTCACCAAGTACGCGCACAAAAAGCATCATATGCTCTCCGCAGTGGAATTACAGAGCCTACTATTCAATGAGTCAATCGGATTAATCCCCATTTATCTAGCAGAACAATTAATATCTGTGCTTAACCGAACCCGTAATAATAATTCAGCAAAAGCAAACGTTATTGGATTCGAACATTTTTCAACTATGAGTCCGATATTGGAAATTTTGTCGAAGGTATATTCAGCTGTGTTATTGTTACTATTTTATATTGTAGGCAGATCCATTTAACGAATTATACTCATTTCCTTTTAAAATAATTACAATTTTTGTAGTTTATCTTTTTGAAAACTTTTTTATTTTTGTCGCTGAACGACATTATCTACAAATTTTAACTTATATACATATACACTAGTATACATCGATAAAAGCATTATAAGTAAAAGATATTAGCATTTTAGTAAAGGTAAGGACAGGTTTAGGTTGCACTTGTGTAAGACTTAGGTTAGGCCTAATTTGAATTCGCGATATAAAGAGAAGAGTAGTGGAGAAGAGAAGAGCTAGTAGGGAACAAATTTATTTTAGTATCTAAATTGGTTTATATAGTTAAAAGATAATTTTTTCCCCTAAAATACTAACGAGATATGAGCTTATTATTACAATATAGTTATAAAGCTTTGCTCAGTTAAATAAAAACTTACTTTATTTTTACTGACGATTCCATGATTTTCATTTGTTTTATACAAGCCTTGCACTCTTTTTTGTAGCATCTCCAACGTTTGCCTGCTAAGTAGTATTTAAAATTTTCCAAAACTAACATTTTTTTTCATAACTTATAATTTCAATTAACTCCATTCTAGTTACTGAAAAGAGCTATGCCCCTTCAAAAAGATAAACTAATTTCTTAAGAGAAAATGAGTGTCCTGTCCTTAATGAATTAAGATCTGTGCTAATTTTTTTTCTTCAGCCTATGCAAATAAATATTTATAAAGTATTCCTAACACGCGTTACATATAATTTATTAGAGAAAAATAAAAAATTACCCAGAATACGGCAATAGGAAAATTTCGGTAAAAAAATGCAATGAATTACTATGGAGGATGTTTCAAAAAACACTATTTAAGAAAAAAGAAGAAGCTTCAGAAATCACCAAACTTATGGGTCTTAACGGTATTAATAAACTTATATTCATATTGAAATTTGTTTTAAAACTATTCACAACTGCTTTCAGAAAATGATGAAATTACAATGACAAAGGTCGATGAAATAGAAGACATGTTGAGAGCTGCTGATATGGTTAACAGTTCATATTATCTTTACTTTATTATTATGATAAATCATATGAAGGGTATTGGTAAAGGATAATATTAGGAAATGTTGTAACTGTTATGCGTGTTTTTTTTTTATATAAGCTGAAATAGGTGTTTCAAACTAGTCGATTTAAGTGTTATATAATCGAGTTGATAAAAATTCCAGATGACAAGATGATATTCCAAGTTGTTGATCATAAATAATTGGCAACAGTATTTGCACAACAAAAGGAATTTTTCAAATTAAAGAAGAAATCGTCAGTTAATTTACGCCATTTAAAAAAACGGTTTATAAAATATGTTTTTTTTAAAAATATTTCTTGATATTTTTACTGGACTAAATAGTATAATAAAATTTGAATGTAGTGTATAGAATAGATTCACGTATCATTCAACAATCTTAACGAATAACATATACGCATATTGTCTTATTGTCTTATGAGTTAAAACGCAACGTAGGTATTTAATACAATATTGTTTATTTTTAAATACTATAGTTGGACGACCTACTCATAACTTTTTTGTTATACGACAAGAACAATGATGGCGTCATTTGCAATGAAGATTGGTTGGAAAAGATTAAAGACTATACGAGTAATGCCACCATACATCATGCTGCACGATCGATAAAGAAATATGATATAAACAGTACCTACATACTTTGGAACATCATTTAAGTGGAAATTGCTAATTGAATGATATTTACATTTTTCCAGATGATGGTGTGATCGATTTTCCTGAATTTTTGAGAATGATGAAGACTCCTTACAGCGTAAAAAATATGTTTAAGGGTATGTTTATTGGAAAACCAATAACCAGAAAACAACTTAATGATTTAGTTCAAAAATCAACCGGAACACTTCTTGATGAGGACGCTTTAAACTCGATAGATCCTGAAAATAAAAATGAGATATCTTACACAGGTATAATAATTATTATACTGTTAATCGCAAACATTTTTTTTTAATTTAAGGTGTTTATTTTTAATAAACAATTTTATGAAATATAATTCGTAAATAAAAAAATCGAACCGTGAATAAATCTTTTAAAACTTTTAATTTTTAATAGAGGAGTTATACTTATAGAGTAATTGATAAAACTTAGTTGGAAAATATCACACAGATAAGTGTACTGACAGTTCTGCTTACTAATTGTTGTGTAAAGTTGTGACTATATATATAATTTAGAATACCATAAGTTATAACATATAATTATTTTTGTTTATTACAAGACCGAAAACATATTTAAAAAAAGTATATTTGTTTCAGATTTGGAAAGTTATTACAGACCACTTTAGTAAGGAATACACTCCACGCAAGAATATTAATTACATTTACTGAATATTTCATTCATACTTTTCAATAGGAATATACAGTTGTCAATAATAATCAATAAACTATTTAAATAATTTGTAGAACAGTTTAAGAATTAATAAATATAATATACATGTAATAAAAAGAATTGCTTTATTTCATCAAAACTCAAAAATCTTATACAAACCGGATATTGATTAATATATCATGAACAAACTAATATTTAAAGTTATTTTCCAAACTAGAATATCAAAATTAATTAATGCATATAAATAAGTCCTTTCTTTCGTCTTATCTTACATATGTTAATAGCACAAAAGTATTTTATTCAAAACCAGAATGCTTCTTCTTCTTCTTCTTCCTCATTTCAACGGTCCATTCAGGACCAGCGCTGCCATCAAAATCTCTCTCCATCTATCTCTCTGATACGCTGTCTCTGAAAGTTGCGTTCTGTTCTATCATTACTATATCTTTGGCAACTACGTCAATCCATCGGGTTTTGGGTCGTCCTAGGGGTCTTGTTTTATTTATTCTGTTGATTAGCACATTTTTAATTAACTGCCCATCTGCTCTCCATGCATGCCCGAGTAGACAACTAATCAGTAAGAATTTGACATTTTAAACCAAAAATAGTATAAATCAAGGAACTAAAACTCAAAACGAAATTCTAACGTGTTGTCAAAGGTTATTTTCAAGATAATTTAAAGAAATCAATAGACTTTTTTTGACATAAATGAGAAATTGCATTAAACATGTTATATAGTTTATATTTCGTAAAAAGATTACAAAGAAAACATTTAACATTTTAGATCATACATAGATAAATAGATAGCACAAACTTTAAAATAAATTTGTTAAATGTCACTAAGAGTGCGATTTGGTCAGAAGTTAACCTGAGTTGGCTTGCCATACGATAGTCGAAAGGGCTATCAGACACGTATAGGTTTGATAAATAATAAATATAAAAAAAAATAGTCCCATCATTCACATGATAACTTGTGAAAATATAATTAGTAGTTATTTTGTAATTAAAGTGTAAATTGTATAATATTTTTATATTAGTTATACAGTATACTAATTCTAGCCTATAGAGAAGGGTTGAAGCATGGTAGGGACGGAGCATTTTTCAAATGAAAAAATGTATTCCTGAACACCTATAACCTTGTCGTTCTTAATAAGCTATAACGACAATAAGTCCCGACTTTACTTGGTGATTTTTTTAAATTTAAACAATTGATGTACCTATGTTTTTTCAAAAAAAATTGGTAAAATTGATGTACAAAATCAGGACCAACAAATTTAGTTTTTTCGCTATTATGTGTGTGCACCTATTAACATTGCTCGGCGTATTGTTACAAAAAATCAAAGGTTTAAACAAAATCATAAGTTGACAATATTCTCGAATCAGTCAACCTATTTTTTTCATAAGATATTTTCAGAAGATGTTTTTCATACACATATGTTTCGGTATATTCTTTTGAAACTGCTATAAGTGTTGTTTGAATATTCACCAAAAAAAAACAGATAATCATATATATATTATAATGTATGCAAATTGTACACATTGTCTTTTGCCTAGCCAGCTAGCAGAGTGGGTTCGTTACAGTTTGATATTTGTTTTATGGCTACACTCTCTTGTACTCTCTTGTCAGTGAAATGCGTGCTGTAAAAGTTTTAGAACAAAAGCAAAACAGCTAGAAAAGCCAGTACAGCGGGGAGAGGGGCGTAGGGGTAACGGAGCATATTGGGGGGGGGGGGGAAACACAGGTTTAAAAGAATTATAAGAAGTTGAAAAATATGTAAATTTATCGGTTGTTTTTCTCGATTTCAAAAATCAAGTATCGTTTTTTGTGTTTACAAGTGTCCCACACTCCACGACGTTTTCAAATGTAACGACTTGAGTTAAAATAGTCAGGAAAAAAAACTGCCGTCCCTACAATAAATAAATTAACACGTACACGTTATATACAAATAATTAGAAAAAAAATTGCTATTTACTCCTGAACGGCATTTGTCGGTTTAGATGACAAAAAAAATGTTTGGAATAAATGTAAAAAATGTCCTTGAAAAATGTATCAAGGATGCTGTGATATAAAATATTTGAAAAATTCGATAGAGATATTTTTTGAAACGATTTACTGTAACAACTTTTTATAAGTTACATAAAAAAATGTAGGTAACAAATTTTACAATTTGCCCATTGCATATATTTTCACCAAAGACGTATAATTTTTTATGTGTGCATTGTCAGCCATCGCAGCTGTGTTGCAAAAAAAAAAAAGAAAGACCATCGCCAAAAGTATAGTTCACTAACCGTAAACTAACGTCATCGATTGTTCGATTGCGTTTATAAAAAAGTTAATTATTTGTATGTGTTACCATTTAAGTTTAAAAAGTCGACCTTCAATGGACTTTGTAGACCCCAAGAATAGATATTATACGTTTTCACTCGATATCAGTTGCTATATTCGTTTTCTTTGACTACTTTAAAAAAAAACAAGTACAGGGTGGCGGAGAATGAAAGACCACATTTGTAATGGGCGCCATAATTTTAATTTTTGAGGTAGAGGGGTGAAACAAAAAACAAGTTGTTGCTAATTCAGGGAAATTTTATTGGATGTGAAAAAAATATTATTTGGGAAACAGAATGTCCGATAGATGGCGTTCTTGCACGGAGATGCATTCCTGGAGGCGCTCGCCGGTAGCGGGACCGAAAGACCTCATTACCACTTGGACAGTATCAAATACCAATAAACAAAATTTCCGATATTGGGCAAACGGTAACCCAAGAGAATTGCACTAATAGTCTCTTCACAGTGGAAAAGTAACAGTTTGGTGTGCATTGTTAAAAGTCGGAATTATTGGGCCTTATTTTTTTGAATATGAACGAGGGGTATGCAGTGACGGTGAATTCTGAGCGTTACGAGACTATGTTCCAAGATATTTTCATCCTTTACCTAGAGGAAAACGAAATGGATACTGAAAATATCTGATTCCAACAAGACGGTGCCCCTACCCACACGAATGAATGGCTACAATGAATCTGCCTTGATTTTTTTATGAATATCATTATGTATAAATGATTGACTTATACACTAAATGACGTTATAAATCATTATAAACGATTTTTTAAAGTGTAGTTCAAATTGAAATACTAAATGTCGGCCAAAATGAGATAAACTAAAAAATGTTAATGAAAAAAAATATCTTGGCCTAATTGCCAAGTTATAGACTTTAATAGGGTAGTCATATCAATTAAATTAATAGTGATTTATGGAAATTCCATTAACATGTATATTTAATAAAAGTTAATAATAAAATCAAACAATTCAGAAAAAAATAAACATTGACGATGAATTCAACTTCGTTCCTGGTAATTAAATTAAATTTTAAACAATTAGTAAATATTAAAAAATAAAATAAAAAACCGATCATGTATGCCGCAATTTTTTTATTTATTTTGTTCACCAATAATTTGGTTTAAAAATAATTATAATTTACAGCTATACAAACGGCAAACTCTAGAATGTTATTAGAATGTTTTTTCAATGGTTTTGATCATTTTACAGCAAAGACCTTGCTAGGCCTTAATCTTATTATCATTGTTTAGGTACTTAATTTTTGTAATGTTTATTTTACTTCATACACCGTACACGAACCGTTATAAACACACACACTGTAAATAATATTACTTAATACCCTTTACCTAACAACCAAGGCGCCTTTTAATAAGTGCGCATAAATATGGCAGAGCTCTAGTCGCGTCTTCCGGATTGATTCTGCCTCAGGTGCTTCACATCCAAAGTCGAGCCTATGATTATAAATAGCATAATGCCTCGGGACAATGATATTGTCTAGCTTTATAAATATAATAAACAGGTTGATAGCTTGAACGCAAGTACTAACGCTAGCAAAGAAACAAGAGCCGTACTTAAGTTTCCTCGGGAGGTGCGGTCTTTAATACAATACACATATTATTAAAGAACACTTGGTTTAAATTAAGTAAAAATCAAAAGTAACTCAACAATGAATAAACACACACAAAATTATAATATCCATAACAACAATGTAAAAACAATAAAATACGCGACCGACATAGTAGTTTGGGTGGCTTTTAATAATAAGCATGATTGAAATTTTTACTGTGTAGACAATATTGTTTAGTTTTGTTTTGATTATTTGGCCTACATTTGATTGCTTTAACAACTTTACTACATCAGATAAGTTATAAAGTCATATATTAATCTAATATTAGGTTTGATTATAAACTTTTTTTAATAATTGACAAAATATAATGCATGTTCTATACTATTATTATCTGAAACAAATATATATTTTTAAAGTATGTTTTTGTCTTGCAATAAATAAATATTTTACCTCCTTTAATTAAAAAAAGATGTATAAAAACGAAAAAAAAAATGAATTGCATAAAATGGACAAATAATATTATACCTTCGTAAAATATCGTTTTTAATTTAATCTTTTTATTAAGGAAAATCTAAAAAGAGAGAAAACTAACACTTAGACTATAGTCAATTTCTAGGTATTTCTAGGTACTTGAGAATATTTTTTAATATTTTTCAAGGTGCATGGGTAACTATGGCAGTACTTTTTTCAGACAGACGATCAATCGTGTTGACCATAGTAAGAAATTAATTTTTTAACTACATTTTTATCATTAAGTACAATGTTCTTTTAATACTACATAACAAATATTAAAATTGTATATCAACTATTGCAGATTCGCATCGTAGCGTTTATTTGTAAGTAATATTATCCACATGCCTTAAATTTGTTATTAATTTTAGTTCGTATGAAAATATGACTACTAAACCTTTCTAAAAACCAAAATACGAATTACGTTAGAAAATGAAAACAAAATATCAAAAATCTGTACTTATGCTTGTAAAATATAATTTATAACTATAATTATTAAAAAAACATTAAAAATGTTGTAAACATCTCAACAGTATCATTTTAGCATTGATTAAATAGTATAGTAAAAATGTTTGTATTTTTAACTTCAATTTGAAATGATTTCTCTGATTTTGTTGAGAAAATTATAGTATATTTTTAGCTTCGATCCGGAGCTAATAGGTATGGATTTTACATGGTGTGTTTTTTATTTTTATGTGCGATTAGTCCCACGCTTTATTCTAACCCACTGAACTGATATTTTTAGGTGGCATGGCATTAGTTCCGAAATCAGACCCGGAAGGAACTTTATTGGGTCACGAAAACATCTAATTTACAGGTTAACTGCAATGCTGTATTGTTTTTTGGTTTTTACTCAGAAGCACACATGTTTATTACTTGGTTTGTTCGTTACATATTTTGTTTACACTAAAAGTACAAAATTCCCTATTTTTATGCGTGTGTTTTTATCTCACAAGCAAAACAATGTAACAAATAATTCATAAACGTCAATACAATATTGCAATAACATAAAAATAAATATGTTTTTCTTTAACCTACAATACTTGTATATCTGCTTACCTAAAGTACTGCGGTAATCCAGAGGGAAACATTTTAAAAACTTAAGCTATAGCTGCTGCGTTATTTTTTATTAGTCATTATATAAAGCATCATAGGTACAAATATATCAAATAGTTTCAAATTAGTTGTAACTTCAAATGTAATAATTAAATATTCTGAATCCAAGTTTATTTGAAAAAAAAAAAAACATTAACATGTATTTCAAAAACATTGTACTGTTATTCTGCGTGACGTTATACTTTTTGCAATGTCAGGGTGATCGCCCAACTCGTGGGGAGCGTGTAAGTATATTAAGCGCTTATTAATTTATAGAAATTACTGTGACTCTTGACTAACTATGTGCAAAATTGTATTATATTGCTTAGATAATTTTTTTTATGTTTTATCTTTCCCCGCCTTTGCAACAAAGAGTTTATTTAAGTGATAACTACACATATGAACAACACATAATAACAACAAGAAAAACTACTGTAAAATTATTGTTAGCACTCTCAAAAAAATCCACTTAACATAATATATGTTTGGTAGTTTGATTTTTATGTGTAAATTATAATATACATTTAAAACGTTCAATTCTTATTCTGAAAACAACAGGAAATCATTAGTGGCATAGTCAAGAAATATAAAAAGAGACATGGCACAGGTATCGAAGAAAATGGCAATCTGTTCATAAACTTCAAAGGTGTAAAAGATGTTATTATAGAAGTATCACAGGTACTTTACGGATACCAAATGCCTCCAAGTCTTGAAAAACTGAAAAAGACAGGATCAAGTAATGAACCATAAATATGCAATAAATGTATTAAGTAAATTGTTTAAAAAATATTGAAAATACATTTTAATAACCAAGTTTGTTATTTGCTTAGGTTTAAATTCTGTTATATTTTTTAACAAAAAAATGTTAACTAAAAACCAGACAGAATATTAAACACTATTATAGAACGTTAAACATAATTTTAAATTCTTTCGAAGCAAAATTGTTCTAATTTGGTCATTCAAAACATTTGCAACATTTTGTAATTTCAGAATATAAATTCACATTATTGGAAGTTCAGCGATACGTCAAAGATTACTTACGATTAAAGAAGTTAAGTCCGGCATTATTGGTAAATAAAAGACTATATTACGGAAAAAAGTTAGTAAAGTTGTATGTGCGGGGACTAACTCGAAAACTATTCTATATAAATTAGGATGAAATTAATCTTATAAGATTCTTGTTGGTTTGTACAAAGTGTAAATTATTGTTTAGAGAATTAATCTTATGGTTGAAAATTTGGAATTTGTGAAAAAAGTGATTTTTCCAGTTTCAGTTTTCTTTTTTGAATCTCGAACAGTATAGTTTTTCTCTTAAATAAAAAAATATTTACATTCTTCGAATGTTCAATGCTTTGAATGCTTTGAATTGATATGATTATGCTAAAATATACTAGTAGTTAGGCATTATAATGACGCTATAGAAAAATCAGTTATTGCCTTAATTTTTTTAACGTCCTACACTACTTTACTCTTAAAATAATAGACATTTTGTTGTTACTTACTTTGAAAACATTCTAATGTCTAGTTTTTCATTCTAAAACAATAGGAAATAGTAAAGCTACTCTTCTCTCAGTACGAAAAGCCACAAAGCATAAACTTTGAAGATTTAAAAGATCTAATTGGCAAAGTACAGGCGGCTAATGCCAATGCCAAATTTGTGTATCTTAAGTACCCGAAAACGGCAATACCGTACAAAATGGAAAAATCAGGTAATAGACAATTTAAATGTAGCCATTTATTGGGTTGAGTAAAATGAACAAGACCATTTCAAAATATTATAGTAATGAAGTTTGTCATTTGTATTGCTGTAAATTATAATTGTTTTTTTACTAAAAAATCATAATTCTCGGACCAGACCAAATATTGAACAACGGTTGGTGTACAAATTAGGTAAAACAACATGTGAGATACATGATTAGTTTTTTTTAAATGTTTTAAGGGGAACGGAACACGTCAAATTTTTTTACAAATAACGACTAAAACGCAGAGTCACTTTTCGAAGTGTCTACCGAACCGATTTTAATAATTTTTGTTTTGTTTTATAGTTTAACATCTTTTCTATGGGGGCTAAAGGGCCGATTTTTTATTTTTGTTTTCAAAAAATGTGTATAAACATTTTTAGTTTTACTCTATAATAGTTTTTCCTAATACATCTAACCACTTTTTTAATCGCTCAATCCAAAATCGGCCCTTTAGCCCCAATAGTAAACTTCGCATAAAAATAAAAATAAATTGAAATCCGTACGAAATTGTACGCCAAAAAATGACTTCTACGAAGGTCATTTTTTATCAAACTTCATAACTTGGAGAAAAATAACTTTAAAAGTATTATAATTAGAAAATTGTAATACATGTTCACCTTGAAATTAGTAGACATATGAAAAATGGTTATTAGATCAATTTTTGTCAAATATTGCCTATCATTTGCTCCTTAATAAATAGCCCTTTCTGTTCCCCTTAAGCTTTACTAATAACATTAAATTAAAAATTACATCATTATACTTCACTTACAATATTTTGAAATAAACAATTTTTGAAGTGTAACACATTATTATTCGCAATTTATATGCTGTTAAATTGGCCTGATTCGTTTATTAAAAAATGTATAAAATTTTGTTCTTTCAGTATACAAGTTTACTAGGAAGGAAGTTGAATCCATCGTCATTCATTATTTGTATGCTATATAGTTTGATTTACTTATTAACTTTTATTAAATATATACATTAGGGAGGTCGTTAATTTCGATTTTAAGGAGCGAAGTATAGAAATAAGTTTGAAATGTCGGGGAAAAAAATGCTCTAATTTTTTCATATTTTTCACTTAAGAATATAAAAAACACAGTATATATATATATATATTGTTTTTTGTTTTTTATGTATGAAGTTTGTCGCATACAATTGTAGTTTTGGTTAAATAATAAATCATTTTGCTCTTTTATTTTGTTATAATTAATTATATTACTTTTAGTATAATTACCCGATCCCAGCTGATTTAAACATGGATACGTTTTTGGGCTGGATACACATTTGAAATTTGGGTTAGGTTTATCCGTAACGAAATGAAGTCATTCATAAATTACTTATTACGAGTTAGCAACTTAAAAACGTAAAAAGACAATACAGTGGGGTCAATGCTTCGTGGGGGACGGGGAGGCCACCGGTTTACAGGATTTCTTACAGCTGAAAGTGATAAAATCACTTTCAAATAAACGCTTCAATGCGAATCAGTACACGGTTGGGATAAAAAATATTGATAACAAAATTGTCATGAAAAAAGTGTGTGAACAATTTTACTCTCAGTAAAAGCAATGTCGCAATTACGAGGGTCCGAAAGGGATAACTCATTGACCCGGATGGAAATATTGTAAAAAAATGTATTTTATTATTTATGTATTTATACGCCTCGAGGGCAAGATTATAGAACATCATAAAAACAGTGATAATTTATACAACTACATATAGAACAATGGAATATCAAACAACGATAATAATAGCAACAATTATTGTTATAAAACTAAAAACTATATCTACGGTAGAAAAAAAAAGAAAGAGATGTAAGGTATTTACTATAATTTATAATAATTACGACAAGTAAGCGTGGTCAGAATTAGCTAATGACATACAGCGGCGTAGTGGTTCATTTAAACCATAATTAGTGGAAGAGGAAGAAAGGGAAATTGGAACTGTGTAGCAGGTAGAACGGGGAGGAACTTTGAAAGAAGAAATTTTTGAAAGCAAATAAGGTGAGTCAATTTGTCCATGCAGTAGTTTGACTAAAAAACCAAGATTGTTAGCACGTCTACGGTTAGCTAATGTATCCAATTGAAGGAGCTCAAGGACTGGGGTATAAACATGCGGAGGACACTCAATCTTTAAAGCATAACTTGAATAATTAAAAAAATTGTGTTGAACTCGCTCAAGCATTATAAAGTTTTCCGCCGTACGAGGGTCCCAAATAACCGAACCATATTCTAAGATTGGTGTAACCAGTGAACAATAGAGTGCTCTCAAAGGTGATTTTAATTTAAACTCGGAGGACACACGTTTAATAAAACCTAATGTTTTTAGAGCTTTACAACAAAATTTCTCCACGTGCAAATTTGGACTAAGGGTCGGACTGAAAACAAAGCCTAGATCAGTGACAGACTTGTCAAGCGACACTAAAACTGATCCCTTTATAGTATGACTAAATTGAATAGGGAGTGTGCGGCGTGTAAAAGAAAAATAATGGCATTTAGCAATCTTAAATTGCAGCCTTAGCTTATCTGCCCAAGAGACTAAACTGTTTAACTCTTCTTGGAGATTGTGGCAATCGTTTAGAGAGTCAATCTGATAAAACAATTTAATGTCGTCCGCAAATGCTAATAGGCGCACATGCTGTAAGACAAGGTTAGCAATATCATAGGAACACCTGAAGAAGCAGCAAGGATATAAGTTGTATTCAAAATTGAATATAACTTCATAGAAATATAATTTTTAATTTAAAAGAAATATTATACGTGTACAGACGTACAGATATTTTTTTTTTTTTTGTAGATCAAAGTAGGACAACGAATGATACAAATTTTGGTTATATATTTTATTAAATCACATATCCATCTTAAGTAAGAGGAGTGCAATCATAGTCATCGTGTTGATGATAAAAAATATTGTCAGTACTCAGTCGTATGGTGTCAAAATAATATTTATCGAAAAATATAAGAAAAACAGTTAACTCAGACTGACACTTTGGTCATACAATTGTAATTACAGCTATACGTTTTTGGGAAAAATGTTGAAAACGTTTACTCGTTTTTGTTATTATACCATCTAGTACGTAGTAGTAATGTTTATAACGTTTTTTTTCTCATTTAATATTATTTGTATATCAAACAGGTATGAAAATTGTGCTAAAAAAATTGTGTTTTCGTGTAAACGCTTAGGCGAGAATTCGATAAACAACACTTTAAATCATATTTTTTTTAAATATTCGTTTACTTTTGAACTCGGTGTCACTTTTAAATCACGTGCGCTGATTTGCGAAAATATACAAGAACTTTGCTAACAATAAATTGTAATAATTTATAAATCGCATTGGCCTAAAATGAAACCACCGATTTCTAAAATAAGCGAAATGATTGGATACAAAAATATAGGTTACAAGCATACAAATTAGACATCAAAATAATAAAAGTAACCGCGTAAATAAAAATAACCATCAATAACACCAAACAAAAATATTAAATAACTGGTTAACTACTTTACCTTTAACCCTAAAAGTGGTTCTAACGTCCCTCAAAGAGTTGAGACTAAAAGTGTATAATATTGAGTTGTTTTATAATTATTATTGTAGATGATGTATTTATATGTTTTGCCCCTTTAAGAAATACGGTATTGGCAACAGAACATACACCAACGCCATAACTAATGGTAACGTTATGTTATCAAATAACGCTAGACCGCGGTTTATTGCCAACTTCGTGCACGTAATTTCTTACAATTTTGATTAATATTTTTTATCCAGAAAATCGTCGTTACGGTTTTTTGAGGTTATAATAAAATATCGAAATCGATATCCTGAAAAAAGTGTTCATTATAAATTAAAAACTACGGCTCTAGTATTTTATTACCGAGGAAAAATGAAAAAAAAACCTAATTAAATAATTTTATTAGTCTGAAATAATATTACGTTTTCAGATTAATTACATTAGTTATAAACTACTATAGGGAATCATTACTATCGATATAATTTCACATCCAATTCGATTGTGTTGATATCTTTCGAGTCCGCGTTGCAAATTGTTTTCCTTCTCACCAATCTACTTGGAAGTGGTTGTCGATTGGCATTTTTTTTTTCTAGTTAATTTGTGTATTCGAGTAAAGTTAGAACTTCATCGGACTTCATTCGACAATTCAATTATGGTAAGCTTATGAACATTGTTTTTCATTTAACAAAAAGTATTAGAAACCATGTTTGTATTTCACGTTGTAAGGAAAGCACGATATTTCTAACCTTATAAACTCCATGGCCCACATAGTAAATTGTAAAATACATATTACTTTCTGACCTACGGATCGGTGATTTAAAGTACGGGCTTTAGTCTATAGAATTTTCTATTAATTTTTTAAAAATCTGTTTATTAATTAGAACATCAAAATTGATCATTGCATTTGTTTAATAATGTTAAAATGCATGGTAGTTTGTACGTTTCTGGTGGACGATTTAAATTTGAAATTAAAGTTCAACAAAATGTATATATTATGTTACGATATTTAATTTATTTACTTTGCCCCGATAACGTTATTTGTTCAATACAAATTTTACGTTTTGTTTTTAATAGGTTTTTACCTATTAATAATTTTATGATGATTCTTACGTAATGAAATTCTTAATGAATTTATATTAAGGGACGTAATACTGATAATTTATAAGAGTTTTAACATACCTTATACTTATGAAGTTATGTAATTTGTAATTCAAAAGAAACTGTACATTAACAAGAAAAAAAGGATAATTTTTTTACTGTCGATAATGAACTAATTATCATTATAGCTTAGTTGCAATACTGAAAAACTATAAGATTATTTACTTTACTGCTGGAATTATATTTTTATGTTGAATCTTTACGTACTGAATTATTTAATGATTTTTTATAAAGGGACGTAATTCTGAAAATAATATAGGTATCTAAATTTGTACGGTATTTCTTTTACTTTTTGAAATATTAATCAATGTAACATACGTGTTCTTAATTGTTTTTAAATTAATATATATATGTGTGTTCTCGTTTTCAAACATAAACTGAAAGTAAATGGGTCAACTGGTGATAATGTGACAACCATTTCCCCTTCTTTGATTGATTAATATACGTATAAAACAAATTTTGAAATGCCCGTGAGAAAAATATAAAAATGAACAACAGGATTTTCATCATAATATGATATAATATTATTAGTCTTTATAGTTAATATTATTTATTGAAGTACCAACTGTTTATTTATCTAAACACCATACAATTATTGCTGTATTGATAATATTAAATGTTGTTTTTTTTAGCCACAATAAATTAAAGAAATCAAAGACTTCTTGCTGAAGGCTAGGAGGAAAGATGCAAAATGTAATTATAAATGCAATTATCAAATGATATCCTTTAAAATAGTTATGTAATTTTTTTTTATCTATTTCTCAAATAGCTGTTAAGATCAAGAAGAATATTGAAAATGTAAAGTTCAAGGTACGCTGTTCAAGGTTCCTGTATACCTTGGTCATCACAGACAAAGAAAAGGCCGAGAAACTTAAACAATCTTTGCCACCTGGTATATATATATATATGTTTTATTATTATTATTATTTATGTCGAATTAGAACAAAATACATCACTGAAGGCAATGAATACTGAAAATTGCTTTTTATTATAGGGACAAAGTATGGGCAACATAGACAATAAATGATCAAGTAGTCATTTTAAATATGCCAACTTATGTTTAAGTCTGGTCTATGTTTGAACTATTTTTGTTTTTTGATGCAGGCTTAATTTCTTTAAACAATTGGGTGGGTGTGCCAAATTTGAACTGATCTGTTTGATGAGAGCATGTGTGCCGCAAAGCTTTCGAATTATAGATCTATCTTATTACCCTTGTACATTTTTGATAAGAAAAATTATGCATTAGTGTTTTTATTAAAAACAAGCTGTCCGGACCCAGTGCTGCCCGGGATTTAGTTTGCCTGTGCTGAGTAAAATAATTACAAATAAGATAAAAAAAAACTCAGTACTCCAGGTTGTATATTGTAGAGCTTTAGCATACCCCGTCTCTGTTT